TTTTCTTCTACTGGAAAGTCATCTGGTGTTTTATTTTGGATGCCTATTGGAACCATCCTGTCCTGTTTTTGTAAATGTTTTGATATTGTCTGCTGTCTTTCGGGCATTCAGTAGTTACTTTCTCATTTATTGATTGTAGATTTGTTTGTTTCATGTTGTTTTTTTTTTTAGGCTATGTCTGAGCAGGCAGGCTGTGTGTTCTTTGTTGTTTGCTTGTCTGTGGGCACAATAGTTTTTGCCTCCTCCAATTGGCAGGGTCAGTCACTCAGATATGGTACAGCAGGGCGGGTCTAGCTGAAGAGGAGTTGCTGGGATGGGTTGTTTGTGGCACTTACTACAGCCACCAGGGCAGGTCGGTAATCAGTGCAGGGCAGGTTCCAGTAGGCCATGCGTGTGCTGCTTGGTGGAGTAATGTTAAGCGCACAGTGCAGGCGGCTGGATGGAGGGGAGATGATTGTTATGTGTGGAGCTAAGATGGGTATGGGAGAGAGGAGAGAGGAACAGGAGCCAAAAACATACAAACAAAAAAGAGTGGTAGGGGAGCTTGCCATTGGAGTGTAGAGATGAGAGTCTATAAAATGGAGAAAAAAAAACGAAAGAAAAGAAAATAGTGAAAAAAAAAATTAGAAAGAAGAAAGAAAAGCAAACTCCCAGGGATCCCACCGGTGCAACTACAAGGTCTGGGAAAGTTGTTCCCAGATGTTGAAGTACAGCCTAGCTAGAAGGGGTAGAGATGTCACTCAGCGCCAAGTATTCAGGGGACTGGAAGAGAAGGAAAGTATAGAAAGAGAAGAAACAGAGTAATGAAAGAGAAAAAGAGAGAAAAGAAAACAAATTAAAAAAAAAAAAAGAACAAGAAAACCCCCCACAAAAACAGAATAAAAAAACATGAAAAAAGAAATGCGCTCAGGAATCCCTCTGCGCATCTTCACAAGCTGAGGGTGTAGGTCCCAAGCCATGCAGCACTGCGCAGCCAGAACGGGCAACCAACTCAAGAGAAGAAAAAGAAAACAAACAAACAAAAAGCCCCGGGATCCCACCACCGTGGCAGCACGGACCAGTAAGCAGTTCCACACTCGAGTGGAGCTCCGTAGCCCCTCAGGAAGAACCAAAGATGGCCCATGGAGCCAGGTATTTGAGCGAAAGGAGGAGGAGGTGGTGAGAGGTAAGGAAGAAATCAAAAGAAGTGGAAAAAAGCAACCCCAGCAGTCAACAAATGGCACTCAGGGAGTTGGCCAGTGCGGGCAGGTGGAATCCAAGTAGCCAGTGCTTCCTGGCCAAGAGACTGTGTTCGTGGGAAGCAGAGGGGGCTGAGTGGGGTGAAGAAAGGTGGGGGATGGGAAAGCATACTGCTTACTGGTTGTTCTGTTTCCTGCTGGAAGCTCCCTGAAGCTTTCTCGTACCCTCTGTTCGCTGGTCTCTGATAAGAGTCCAAGATGGTGGATCCATGCTGCATTAGCCAACAGGGGACCCCTGCATGTATGTCTCCTCGCTATCTGTTCTCTGTCAGTTTCTTATTCCATTTGATGCTTGGCTGAGTTCTTTATCTTTTCATTTGACGTTTAGAGTGTCAGGATTGCTGTTTTCTCTGTTTGGCTTAGTTTTTCAGATCTTTGCTGTGGAGGGATGGCATGGTGCTTCTGCCTAGAGCGCCATGTTGCTGGAAGTCCATCCTTTGATTTTTAATATATTTATGTCTTTGTTTTTAAAATTTGTCTCTTGTAGACAGCATATCGATGGGTTCTGTTTTTTATCCATTCTGTCACTCTGTCTCTTTTTGGGTGCATTTAAGCCATTTAGGTTCAGTAAGTTGTGAGTTTATGGCTGACATTTGTAGTGCTTTTTTGTGCTGTTGACGTTTTCGTTGTTCCTCTTAGTGTTCTGTGCTGAATTTATTTTGTTTGTTGGTTTTTTTTTTTTCTTTTTAGATTTTGTGTTTAATGAGACCTTGTTTTTCTTCTTTATTTTGATGAGTAGGTTTGTTAACTTTCTTTGTGATTACCTTGAAATTTATCCGTATCTTCCTAAGTTTAAACCAGTCTCTTATTACTTGATAATGCCTTGACTTCCTCTCCATTAGAAAGTTCTATACCCGCACCGTTTATTCCCTCTTTTATTGTTTTTACATTGTTGTCATTTATAGATTGACCTCTCAGGTTCCCTGTTGTAAATGTTTTCGCTTTGTTTTATCCTTGAGAGTTTATTATCTAGGTTGTTATCTGGCTGGTGCTGTCTTTTGTGCTAGATTCAGGTTATTGTTTGCTGCTGTTGGTTCTCTAACTGAAGGATTCCCTTTAATAATTCTTGTAAGTTTGGTTTGGTTTTTACGTATTCTCTTAATTTCTGTTTATCTGGAAACGTTTTTATTTTGCCATCGTATTTGAGTGAGAGTTTTGGAGGATGTGTTATTCTTTGTTGGAAATATTTTTCTGTAAAGATTTTAGGTATGTCATTCCATTGCCTTCTTGCCTGCATGGTTTCTGCCGAGTAATCAGCGATTAGTGTTATTGTTTACCATCTGTATGTGACTTTTCATTTTTCTCGCGCTGTTCTCAGGGTTCTTTATTTTTGGTTTTAGCGAGTGTGATTGTGATACATCTTGGTGTTTTTCTTCTGGTTTCTATCCTATATGGGGTTCGTTGAGCTCCTTGGATGGTTGGCTTTTCGTCTTTCATGACATTAGGGAAGTTTTCTGTCAGCAAATCTTCAGTGATCCTCTGAATTTTCCATTTTTCCCCCCTTTTTTTGAACTCCGCAGCACACAGGCTGGGTGGATGGGATAAAGGAAGGAAGGAAGATAGAACGAACAAACAAAAACAAACAAGTAAGCAAATAAATAGAATGGCGCTGAGGGAGCCTGTCGGTGCCAGCGGCAAAGACCTGGGGAGGCTGCACAGAATGACTCTTCAACTGAGCTGTGCAGCACGGTCCTTCGAGAAGGGGTGGGGGCAGTGCACAGGGCTGGGTGGATGGGACAAAGGAAAGGAAAGAAAGAAGAGAGAGAAGAAACAGGAAAAACAAAAAATCACAGCTCGTCAAGAGGGGAGGCAGTGGCGCATGGGGCTAGCTGGATGGGAGAAAGGAAAGGAAGGAAGGAAGAGAGAGATCAACAAGAAAAGCCAAAAAAAAAAGCAAATAAACAAAAAATACAAAACAAAACAAACAAAAAGATGCTGAAGGGGCCGACCCGTGGGGGTGGGGCAGGCCCTAGCAGCAGTGGGTTGGTGTCTCTGGCTGAGCCACCTTGGCCCATTGGAAAGCGACAGAGGCCATGTAGAGGGAAGAAGGGTGGGGGGTAGGAAAGCAAGTATCCCTGTTACTGGGTTCTCTGTCTCCTGTTGAGAGCTCTGTGAAGTTGCCGTCCCATACTCCTTGTCTGCAGTCCTTGGTGGCTGAGGTCCAAGATGGCAAATCCGGGTGGCAGTGAGCTGGTATCTCTCCAGCTGAGTGACCGTGGTTTGCTGGAAAGCAGCGGAGGCCTTGTACCGGGAAGAAGGGTAGGGGGTGGGAAAGCTTGTTTCCCTGGTTTCCGGGTGCTCTGTCTCACGTTGAGAGCTCTGTGAAGTTGCCTTTCTGTACTCCTATTTGCGTTCCTTGGTGACTGTATTCCAGGATGATCAATCCGTGCCATGTTAGCTGGTAGGGAACCTGCGGTCTGTAGTTCTCTGTTATCTGTCAGTTTCTTGTTCTGTTTGGTGGTTGATCAAGTTCTTTATCCCTTCAGTTGACACTTAGAGTTCCAGGATTGATGTTTGTATTTGTTTTACTTTAGTTTTTCCAGTCTTTGCTGCAGAGGAATGGCATGGTGCTTCTGTCCGTGGTGCTATGTTGGCTCCGCCTCTGTTTTTTGTATTCTTGTTAACTCATACTTCTTGCCTGCTATATTCAATTAACAAATGCCAGTATTAAAAATAGTGTTAAATATTTAGGTGCTAGGATTATCTTTAATCTTCTTAATAATATCAAATAATTAACCGCAGTATAAAAGTACACCTTTAGCAGAATGACTAAATCATGGTGCATCCAGAGAATAAAATAATCTGGTTATTAAAAGTTACACAGAAGACTTGTAAAGACCTGAAGGATTCTTATGATGCTTTGTTAACAGAAAAACAGTTGTAAAATAGTAGGCTTTAATTGCACTTATTTTCAATTACAGTTAGAAAACCGCATGGATGGTTATATTCTAAAATGTTAATAGCAATCATCCTTGGGTTTGAGGTTATGGGTCTTTTTAATTTATTTTTGTTCTGTAAATTCTGAAATGAAAATTTGTCTTTAGTAAAAAAGTTCAGAGGAGTTCTTTACAAAATGTGTGTCGAAGTATAATAAACATACAGAAAGGAGCTCATATCATAAGTGTACAGCTTGATAAATTTTGAAAAACTGAGCACACCCATGTAAACACCACCCAGATCAAGAAAACATGTTTGTACCCCAGAGACACTCCCTTCACGCTCCCTTTTACTCCCTAACACCCTCTCTACCAGTAGTAACCACTATCTTGATTAAGGAAGTAATTTCTAAAAAGTAGGATTTTGTTACTCATGTTTAGGGCACATGAGATTTGTTCTCTGATGTTCAGCTTTTTTTTTTTTTCCTTAATTGTTAAAATTATTTCCCCCCATAGAAATACAATAGTATAAAATGGAATTGTTTTACTCTTTTTCCCCAGAATAAAGAACTAATACCAAATATCAGAAATGTTTCAAACCAAGAAGGATCAATGGTAAGTCATTTTATTTGTCTTTAAATGAAAACCACAAATTGTAGTAGGATTGAAAAAATGTGCTGATGGACAAATGCTTGTAGAGTGACATAACGTGGACTTAATAGAATTGGAAATGAAAAAAATAATATTATTTAAAACAGTATGTTTTCTTATATATCTATATGAGTTTAGTATATACTGTTGCTGTCTTTGTTTTAAAATCTCTTGAAGGTTGTAATTTAAGATTAAAATTAATCCTCCCCCCTTTTTTTCTTTTCTTTAAAAAATAAAATTGCATGTCCAAATGCCCACAAGGGGGGGGTGACAAAAATTTGGCATTTGAGGAGTTAGTAAAAGTCAGAAGATTGATTAAAAAGTCAAAAGGGTCAGTAGGAGTTGCGTGTAGAGACTTAAAGCAGGTTTAGGAGAGCTTAAGTTTGCTTTTACACTGTGGCTCTTCACATTTCCTGTTTTCTTCAGCCATCTTAGAGAGAACTCTGATAGTGGAAAGGCCTCATCCTGCAGTGGCCGGGACAAACGCTACACTTCTATAGATTCTGTTGCAGGTAGAGAAGTTAAGAAATGAAAAGAGGGACGGGAAATGTTCAGGAAGGAGGAATGTAAAAAGTTTTGGTCAAGTTATGTGGGGGAATTTGAGAGTTTGTAGGCATTACAGTGAGGAGTTTTGTTCCTCTGTTTGGCTTCTACAATACTTTAAGGAATTTGAATCATCTAGCCTATATACTTAATCTGAGTTATTTCTGACAATGTTACCTGCTTACCTTCTCCCCCAGCTCAAGTAAAAAAAAGCACACACTGGATTAAAACTGGATACTTGATAATACTAGGATAAAAATATGAGAAGGCTAGTGTCTTAGTTATCTGGTGCTGCGGTTAACAGAAATACCACAGGTGGATGGTTTTAACAAAGATAAATTTATTCTTTTACAGTCTAGGAGGCTAGACGTCCAAAGTCAGTGTGCCAACTCTAGGAGAAGGCTTTCTCTGTCAGTTTTAGGGGAAGGAGCTTCTAGGGTAGGGACCCCAGGTCCAAAGGACACTCTCCACTCCTGGTGCTTCTTTCTTGGTGGTATGAAGTCCCTCTCCCCTCTGCTCAATTCTCAAAAGAGATTGACTCAAGATACAATATAATCCTGTAGATTGTGTCCTGCCTCGTTAATGTAACTGCCTCTAATACTGACTCATTAGCATCATAGAGGTTAGGATTTATAAAACATAGGATAATCACATCAGATTACAAAATGGAGGACAACCACACAATACTAAGAATCATGGCCTAGCCAAGTTGACACAGATTTTTGGGGGACACAATTCAATCCATAACATTCCATCCTTTGGCCCCCAAAAAATTCACGTCCTAGCCACATGTAAAACACGTTCACCTCATCATATCATCCCAGAAGTCTTAAGTCAACTCTAAATCTAAATTCCAAAAATTCTTCTTCATCTGTGAAATCTAGAATACAAGGTATCTGCTTCCAAAGTACAGTGGTGGAACACGCACAAGGCAGACATTTCCATTACGAATGGGAGAAATTGGAGGGAAAGAAGAGATAACAGGCATCAAGCAAGTCAGCAAACATAAAATGTTAGCTCTTAAGACTTGAAAATAATCCTCTTTTCTCTGAGACCATGTAGGCAATGGCCCTGCCCTCCAGATTCTGGGTGTTGGCCATACTCTTTGGATTCTGGGTGGAGGCCCCTTGGCCGTGGGCTTCAGCTCTACCTTCCAGGCCCACTCTGCCCTTTCAGATTTGAGCAACCCTATTCACCTAGTTTTTCTGAGTGATGACCCCACCCCCTCAGCCCTGGCAGGCCCCATTCTTCTTCCCCTTGGCCATGGTAGCCCTGCCCCCTCAACTTTGGGCAGTGGCTCTGGCCCCATTCCCCTGACACTTGTGAATGGCAGCCCCATATTCCGGAACCGAGTTGGTGAAGGTCTGACTCTTTGAAACCTAGGAGGCCGTGGCCTCACCCTTTGAGACTGAGTTCTGCTTCCTCTGCTCCTTGTCTCTTCAACTTCTGTTTCCTGGTTCCTTGGACTTTTGAGCTCTTGGCCCCTCAGTCCTCTTGGGCTGGCCTGGCCTCTGTCCTGCTCAGGCAAGTGTTACAAAGCTCTTTAGCTCTACCGATAAGTGCTCAGAGGCACCCTACTCCACCAGTAAGCCTTGACCGAAAGGCACTCAGCTTTGCTCTGTGGGTCAGCAAGCCTAGCTCCACCGATAAGTGCCTGGAGGCACCCCACTGTGTTAGGAAGCCTTCTGCACAAAGGCAGTCAGATCTCTTGCTCCATGGATTGGCTCCTGTGCCATATCGCTCTGGTCTCCTGGTTCTGATGCTGCTGTTTCTGCTGTTTTATAGCTGTTTTCACTTCCTTCTGAGTCTTCACCAGAATTGTCTCTGATGTTCATAATTCCACCAACAGTCTCTTCAAGGCAATCAATCTAGGCTTTTATTATCAGGCACTTTAAAACTCTTCCAGCCTCTACCCATTACTCAATTCCAAAACCTCTTCCACATTGTAGGTATCTGTTAGAGCACCACCCCACTCCTGGTACCAAATTCTGTCTTAGTTATTTAGTGCTGCTATAACAGAAATACCACAAGTGGATGGCTTTAACAAACAGGGATTTATTCTCTTGCAGTGTAGGAGGCTGAATTCAGGGTGCCACTCTGCCACACTGAATTCAGGGTGCAAGCTCTAGAGGAAGGCTTTCTCTCTCTGTCGGTTTTTGGGGAAGGTCCTTGTCATCAATCTTCCCCTGGTCTAGGAGCTTCTCAGCGCAGGTACCCCAGGTCCAAAGGACCTGCTCCACTCCTGGTGCTTCTTTCATGGTGGCATGAGGTCCCTCTCACCTCTGCTCTATTCTCTTTTATATCTCAAAAGAGATTGACTCAAGATACAACCTAATCCTGTAGATTGAGTCCTGCCTCATTAACACAGCTGCTTCTGATCCTATCTCATTAACATCATACCCTTTGCTGTCGAGTCGATTCGGACTCAGAGCAAACCTGAAGGACAGAGTAGAACTGTTGTATAGGGTTTCCAAGAAGTGGCTGGTGGATTCAAACTGCTGACCTTTTTGTTAGCAGGCTCGCTCTTAACCACTGTGCCACGTTAACATCATAGAGATTAGGATTTACAACATACAGAATAATCACATCAGATCATGAAATGGTGGGCAACCACACAATACTGGGAATCGTGGCCTAGCCAAGTTGACACACATTTTTAGGGGATACAATTCAACCCGTAACAGGTAGTATTAGACAAAATATTTGAATGGTATTATTAGTTAAAAAATAGAATTGTAACATTGGGGTGAAGGAGGGACCTGTAGAAATGTAGAAGAAAAACACTGAAATGTCGGAAAAGTTTTTTTCCTCCCCTGCCATCCTCTGGGAGGATAGTTGTAAAGTATCCATCCTTCCATTACCTACTGCTCCTTTTCTCTGTTTTTTTGTTTGTTTTTTTAAAAATAACCCCAATTAAATCACAAAAACTTGTTTTAAAATATGACATATGTTTATTATATCTTATATGGGAATTAAGAAGAATAACATTAAGGATATTTATTTTCCTGTTTCAGGATGTCGTTGCCAGAACACAGAGAGATGGGTTTCATATCTTTATTGTTTCTATTAAAACGGAAAAAACAGATTCAAGCTGGAATTTGAATGGTATAGTTAAACTGTATGCATGTTTATTGTCTCCGTTTACTATAGTCTATATTTTGTTGTTTGCCTAAATTTACATACTGTGTTAAAAACACACGCAGACATGAATTTCAGTTAATCGAGCTTTTATTTTGGGAACTTAAAACTTTATGCTTGTCTTAACTTCAATGTTTATTTTTTTAAATGTTTTGAAAATTTTATTCTGTTAATTTGAGATAAATTTTTAAAACCCCATGCTTCATAGTGGGATATAAAATTTCTCCATCCTTTCATATTTTAAATAGTTATTTAACATGTAGAAATGGGTAGGCATCATCTTGATTATATTTGAAGTAGTTTATATTCTTTATTTCATGAAAATGGCTGTCATCAGGTGTTTGAAATATTTGTTATTTGAAAAGTATTATTTCAAAGGATTTGTCTGTAGCTGAGGAATAGGAGTAGGACGTCTGCTAACTGTGGTGCCCGTGGTCTGTCCCCTCCCCAGCCCTCGCCTCATGAGGCTGGACCCTCTCTGTCTCATTAAAGAAGTTCCTAGTGCCTAATGCAAGAGCATTAAAGAAGTTCCTAGTGCCTAATGCAAGAGTGAGCTCTCAATAAGTAATTTTCAAGGGAATGAACTCTTTCATGTATCCTGTGATTGCTTTGGCTGATGTTTTACAGAGTGGGCGTCTGCCGGGCAAACAGTACCAAACAGCATGTGACAATCCTGGGGATTTGCAAATTGCTTTGGTTCGTGCACTGGGGACACAGAGATGAAGCCAGGCTTTGCCTCTGAGAAGTGCCCAGTCTGTGGAGAGGCTGAAAACAAGACTAGATAGGTGTTGCTGCAGAGGAGGCATGGAGCTTGTGTGCCATGGGCCTGGGCAGGGGAGCTGGTCAGGTGACTGCTTAGGAAGATTGTGTGAAGTAGGGCTTCCTTCCAGCTGAGACTGGGAGGGACTGGCACGAGTCAAACCATGCCACATGGAGGGGTGCAGTGACCTGGAGACCATTCCCGTACCTAGCCTGTACCTTTTTCCCGGGTATACTGTCTTTTCCCCCTGACACCAGCAGGCAGTTTTAAGCCCCTGCTAGTTAGTTAGTAAGTGGAGCAATTGCTGAACTCTGCACATCTTGCACTGTATTTGGTAGTCAGTGTTCATTATTACTGTCTTGTACAACATCCCAACCTATAGGCTTGAGCTCAGTAATTTATCCCAAGTTACATTAAGGAAGATAAAATCCTCAGTGAGGTCTGTGACTCAGCAAGGGGGCCAGTGTAAGGCCTAGTTTGGAGCCAGTACTGCTTTTCTTTTTGTATGAGATCAGATTTGGCACAGGTTTTTACAGTAGCATATACACAAGGGTATCTGGATAAGATGATGTAATCAAACAATTTAATAATTATTCAATACCTTGTGTGTGCTAAGCAAAAATTCTGCATTTGTTGGCTTAGCTTATGCTTGTAAAGCCTTCTCTTAAATGAGCTTACATTGCTTACATTTAAAAACTTAAGACTGGTTGTTAATTAACCCTTTCATTTCTTCCTGTCCCCACCTTACCTTCCCTAGTTTCTCTTTCTATGAAGGGGCCTCATGGATATATCTCTGCATCAGATTGGCCTCTAATGATTGTGAGTATTTTTCATTGTTTTTCTCCTTTTTTAAAATGAAATTTGTATTCTGATTGGAAAATTCTTAAATTTTAAGGTCTTGGCGGTGGTAATGCCTTAGTAGCTAATGCTTTGACATACCCTCTATATTTCTGGTTCCAGAGTGGAATATGAAAGCTTAGATATTTGAATGTAGAGCTGTCAACTTTTAAACGATCAAGGACATTAATTGACCAAAATTGGTTTTCTTCCTACAGTTTTACATGGTGATGTGTATTATTTATATTTTATATGGCGTACTGTGGCTGATGTGGTCTGCCTGTTATTGGAAAGATATATTAAGAATCCAGTTCTGGATTGCAGCTGTTATTTTCCTGGGAATGCTTGAAAAAGCAGTTTTTTATTCTGAATACCAAAACATCAACAGCACTGGACTGTCAAGTAAGTTGTAACTGTCTCTATAAATACACAGTGGTCCAAGAGGCTCCTAGCATTTGTGAGCAGAGGTACAGAACGGTCATATTATAGATGAAGAGGAGGGAGGTCAAGAAGAGAGTATCAGAGTACAACTCTGATCTGGACTAACATGAAGACATGTCCTCATTTTCTACTTTCCTTTTTGCTAACTTTTCCTCACCGTCCTCCTGGGAAAAGGAAATTCCCATTCCCTAAGGTTCAGCTATCTAGTGATTGGATTAAAACAATACAGAGTTCTGGACAGGAGAACTTCAGGTATTGCCATCCCTTTTATCATATTTCTCCCTTTTCTCCCCCATCCTCTTCTCCCTTGCCTTCAAATAAGAAAAGTGATTTAGCCACAGGGAGTAAAATCATTGGTGCCAGGATGAATGGTACACGCAGCCTTCTTGCATCTTCCCTAGCCTTTCACTCTTGCAAAGAGCTACTTATGACCAATGGAGGCACCATCCCAGTTTACACAATGGAATGGGTGAAGCAAGGAAGGGATATAGTTGAGCATCCTCAGATGTATGCCCCAGACTTCTAGAAACTAGATTTCAAAAGACCAGAGGGGTAAAGGTATAGTTCCATTGCTGAACCTTTGGAAGATGAGATAGCCTAAAAGGGTTGAATGCTCTCAAGAATGTGCTTCTGAGTGATCAGTTACAAATGATCTTGGTATAGATTTTCAAAGGGCATGGTCATGTCACGTCTGCTATTTGCTTTCAAGCATAGCAGGAGAAAAGTGGGTTGGAATATAGATGAAAGAAGATTGGCATAAAGTTGATAATTATTTGAAGCTGGGTGATAGGTACATGGGAACTCATTATACGCTTTCTCTGTGTAGGGAATATTTGAAATTTTCCAGAATAAAAAGTTTAAGAGGATATATACAAAAGAATAAAGAAAGGACAAACACCCAAGGATGCACATGAGAGGTATTGTTACTGTGTAAGAAGTTTTTGTGGTATTTTTAGTAATTTAGGTAATGAAGGAAGGGTAGGTCTGCTGTTTATGGCTAAGGATTATAGCAGTCATGAATGGTGGAGAAGGTAGTTCAGCTCCTTTTATGTTAGTGGTGTGAACTTTGGTGAGGAGGAACAAAAGCCTGAGATCCATGAAGAGATGAGAGTCCATTAGCCATCCTCAGGAAATTCAGATCCTCTGAGATGGCACCAAAAGGGCTTGGAAGAGAAACCCTGGACCACTGTCACTGTCTTTGAGGAGTACTGTTCAATGGGAGAGGTGTCAGAAGACTGCACATAGGCTAATGTCATTTCTGATTTTTTCAAGTGGGAATTCTATAACAAGTTCTCTTGCTTAGCAGTGATCCTGGTAGGACAGAATTTAGAAAAATCATTGAAGGGATGGGAATTAGTGATTGTTAGGACCCAATATGTGTACGTTAAGAATAGGTCATATCACATCTTAGGCCACAGAGCAACCCTCAACAAGATCCAAAACACTGAGATAATACAACATATCTTCTCTGACCACAGTGCCATCAAGGTAGAAATTAACAACAGGAAGAGCAAGAAAAAAAATCAATTACATGGAAACTGACCAACACTCTGCTTAAAAATTACTGGGTAATAGAAGAAATCAGAGATAAAATCAAAAAATTCCTAGAATCAAACGAGTATGAAAACACCTCATACAAAACCTTTGGGACACAGCAAAGCTCAGAGGACAATTTATAGCAGTAGATGCACACATCAAAAAAGAAGAAAAGGACAAAATCAAAACATTAACTGCAGACCTCGAACAAATAGAGAACAGTAAAAGAAGTCCACAGCCACCAGAAGAAAGGATATAATATCAGAGCAGAAATAAATGAAATAGAGAATAGATAAACAATAGAAAGAATCAACAAAACCAAAAGTAGGAGGACTTGCAGTACCTGACCTCAGAACCTACAATACAGCTATGGTAGTCAAAAACAGCCTGGTCCTGGTACAACGACATACATTGACCAATGGAAAAGAATTGAGAACCCAAATGTAAATCCATCCACCTATGGTCACCTGATCTTCAACAAGGGCCCAAAGTCCATCAAATGGGGAAAAGACAGTCTTTTTAACAAATAGTGCTGGCAAAATTACATGTCCATCTACAAAAAATTGAAACAGGACCTATATCTCACACTATACACAAAAACTAATTCAAAACGGATCAAAGACATAAATATAAAGTCAAAAACTCTAAAGTTCATAGAAGAAAAATAGGTCCAATTAGGATGCCCTAATACATGGCATTAATAGGATACAAACCATAACCAACAACACGCAAACTCTAGAAGGCAAGCTTGATAACTGGATCTTCTAAAAGTTAAACACTTAATGCTTATCAAAAGAGTTCACCAAAAGAGTAAAAAGAGAACCTACAGACTGCGAAAAAATTTTTGGCTATTACCAATCAGGCAAAGGTCTCATCTTTAAAATCTACAAGAAAATCCTACACTTCTACAACAAAAAGACAAATAATCCAATTAAAAAATAGACAAACGAAATGAACAGACATTTCACCAGAGAAGACATTCAGGCATCTAACAGACACATGAGGAAATGCTTGCAATCACTAGCCATTAGAGAAACGCAAATCAAAACCACAATGAGATACCATCCCACCCTGAAATTACTGGTACGAATTAAAAAAAAAAAAACCGGAAACAACAAATGTTGGAGAGGCTGCAGGGAGATCGGAACTCTTATGCACTGCTGGTGGGAATGTAAAATAATACAACCATTTTTGAAAATGATATGGTACTTCCCTAGAAAGCTAGAAATAGAAATACCATATGATCCAGCAATCCCACTCCTAGGACAATGGAATATTACGCAGCTATAAAGAACAGTGGTGAATCTGTGAAGCATCTCATAACATGGATGAATCTGGAGGGCATTATGCTGCGTGAAATAAGTCAACACAAAAGGACAAATATTGTATGAGACCACTACTGTAAAAACTCATGAAAAGGTTTACACACAAAAAGAAACAATCTTTGATGGTTATAAGGGAGGGGAGGGGCAGGGGTGAAATACTAAATAGTCAATAGGTAAGTGGTAACTTTGTTGAAGGGTAAAATAGTATACAACACTGGAGAAGCCAGCACAACTTGTACAAGGCAAGTTCATGGAAGCTCCATAGACACATCCAAACTCCCTGAGGGACCGAATTGGGTGTGCTGAGGGCTGTGGGAACCAGGATCTTGGGGAACATCTAGCTCAATTGGCATAACATAGTTTATAAAGAAAAGCTTCTACATTCTACCTTGGTGAGTAGTGTCTGGGGTCTTAAGAGCCTGTGAATAGCCATCTAGGATACTCCACTAAGATACTTAGCCCTTCAGGAGCATGGGAGAATGAAGAAAACAAGATACAAGGGAAAGGTTAGTCCAAAGAACTGATGGACCACAACTACCATGGCTTCTACCAGACTGAGTCTAGTACAACTAGATGGTGCCTGGCTACCACTGCTGACTGCTCTGACAGGGATCACAACAGAGGATCCCGGACAGTGCTGGAGAAAAATGTAGAACAAAATCCTAACTCAAAGACCAGACTTACTGTCCTGACAGAGACTGGAGAAATCCTGAGACTATGGCCTCCTGACACCCTTTTAGCTCAGTCATGAAACCACTCTTGAGGTTCACCCTTCAGCCAGAGGTTAGACGGCCCCATAAAACAAAACAACACAAATGGGGCACACTAGTTCAGGGACAAGGACTACAAGGCAGGAGGGGACAGAAAAGTTAGTAATAGGGAACCCAAGGTCGGGAAGGGAGAGTGTTGACATGTTGTGGGGTTGTTAACCGATGTCATAAAACAATATATGTAGTAACTGTTTAATGAGAAGCTGTGTGTTCTGTAAACCTTAATCTAAAGTAAGTAAAAAAAATTTAAAAAAAAGAATAGGTCACGTCAAACTACTTTCTTTTTGGGCTGTTAGATTGGCGGTTAGGAAAACGTAGTAAACTTAGTGTATCTGGACTTCTTCAAGGCATTTGACGAGATTTCTCATGGACAGGTGGGGAAATATGAGCTGAAAACTGGTTGTGCGATTATGTCTAAAGGGTACCCGTGGATAAGCACTTGTTAGTCTTGTCAGTGAGGCCCCTAGGAGGCGCGAACGTTTTGCACTCAATCACTAACCTAAAGGTTGATGATTCGAACTCACCCAGTGGCACCATGGAAGAAAGACCTCGTGTGGTGGTCTGCTTCTGTAAAGATTACAGCCAAGAAAACCCTGTGGAGCAGTTCTACTCTGTAACACATGGGATCGTTTAGTCTTATCAGTCTAGAGCTGTGAAGTCCAGTATGATAGCCACAAACCACAGCTGGCTATTTAAATTTAAATTATGCAGAATTAAATAAAATTAAAAATTGAGTCACATGGGTCATATTTCAAGTGCTCAGTAACCTCATGTGGCTAGTGGTTACTGTGTTTGTGGGATATTTTATCATCATAGAAAGTTCTACTAGGCAGTATTGGTCTAGAGCAGTGGTTCTCATCCCTGAGTGCGCGTTAGCATCACTTGAAGAACTTTGAAGACTATGCCATTGCCAGAGATTTCTGGTTGGAATAGGCCTAGCACTTGTAAAAACTTCCCAGGTGATTCTAATGTGCATCTAGGGTTGAGAACCACTGAGCAAGAAGGAGATTTTAAATGGGGTCTCTGTCATAGGTTTTAGACTTAGTTGATTTTTTATTCTTGCTGGTTGTTCACCTAACGTTTATTGTTCATTTATCCATGCGTAGAGGGCATTCTGTTCAATTTTGTGGATGATATGATACTGGCAGGAGTTATGAATACTTGGCATAGAGAATCATTTTAGATAGACTCTTCTCACCTAAAGAGATACGATGGGCTGCAAAGAGGTTTGACACTCTGAATAGAAAGGTGAAATGTAATAGGTAAGGTCTCAAACTTAGGTTAAAGTACATATTGCAAAAATACAAATGGGGAAGTCTTTAAAAGGATTTAAAAATTAAACCCAAAACTAACCAAACCTGTTGCCATCAACTCGATTGCAACTCATAGTGACCCCGTAGGACAGAGTAGAGCTGCCCCATAGGGTCTAGGAAGCGGCTGGTGCATTCAAATTGCTGACCTTTTGGTTGGCAGCCAGCCGATCTTTTAACCACTGTGCCACCAGGGCTCCTAAAAATTGAAACTGATGAAAAATAGGCTCAATGTAGGCAGCTCACACAGCCTTAGATTGCAGAAGGAGCAGGAACAGGGAGGAGACAAGAATTCTGCTCTGTAAGTCAAGCTGTACCAGGAAGGTTGTATTTGCATAACTTCAGGTGGGAAATGGAGAGTCTAGACTAAGCAGCTCATGGAGGGATTTGAAAACATGCCCATCCTTCATCCTTAAACATTTGTATTCCTAAACCCCTTCTTCACAGGCTGCACCCTCTCTTGGAGAGCTCATCTGTGCTTTTCTTCTTAAAGACCTGTCTGTCTAGTCACCTACTAAACATCTTCTGAATGCCCTGCACACTTTTCAGTCTCCATGTGGCAGAAGTGGAACTCATCTTTTCCACCTTTGTACTTGACTCACCTACCCAAAACCTGCTGTTCCTCCAGGACTTCCTCTCAGGAAGTGGCCCTGCCAGTAGACCTTAGACTAGTCTTCATGCCTCTTCCTCTCGTTCTGGTTCCAGATCTGTCTTCAAGGCATTTAACAGGTCTCTTGTGATTTTTTGTGGACAAACTGGAGAAGTGTGAGCTGAAAACAAGGATAATTAGGTATATTCACCAGTGGTTGTGTAACCGTATCTGTTTTCTGAATATCTTTCTGCTTCCTCCCACCTTCATTGGCAGCACTCTCATTAGCCCTTACCTGGATTTTTGGAATAGCCTCCTGAGCATTTTCCTTACCTGCAGTCTTGTTCCTCACCAAGCCATTGTAGGTAGAACGATCTTGCTAAAATAATGCTATGCATGTTCCTCCAGGGGTCAGCAAACTTTTTCTGTAAAGGGCCAGATAGTAAATATTTTCAGCTATGTGTACCATTGGCTGTCTGTTGAAACTACTCAACTCAGTCATTGTAGCAGGAAAGCAGCCACAGACAACATGTAAATGAATGGTTGTGACTTTGATTCAATAAACTTTATTTACAAAACAGATGTAGGGCCAGATTTGAATCATGGGCCATAGTATGCCAATCCCTCTTCTACTCCTTGTCTACTATTAGTGACTTCCCATTGCCCTTAGCATCAAATCCAAACTCCATAACATGGCCTAAAGACCCTGCCTCTGTCACTAACTTCTTCTTGACACCTGTCCCCTATTGCAGTCTCTGCTGCAGACATACTGAAATTTCACTTCTTGCAGCATGCTTTGCTTTTCCTCTTGTCTTCTCCGTGCCTTTGTGCGTGCAATTTCCTCTGCTTTTCCCTTCCCCTTCTCCAACCAGTTAACACTTAGCCTTCAGGTCCTAATTTAGATGTCATTTCCTCTGAGAAGCTTTTCTGAATCCACCCATACCTCCTCCTAGTGTGGATTAAATCAACCTCCTTTATAGGCCCAAGGAATACTGTGTTATCTCTAGCACTTTCCGCATTGGATTCTCTCCAGAGTACAACTCTACAAAGGTGGGGATCAGGGTGTCTTTTTCACTGTTAGAGCCATACTTCTTAGTACACAGTAGTAGTATAATAATAAATTCTAAATGAATGAATGATGAAGATATCCTGGAGAAAAGAGGACATTGGAGGGCATTCTGCTTTTCAAATAGTTATAGGACACTAAGGGAGAGTTTGTTCTGTGTGGCATTGAGGCGAAGAACAAGAATAGAGGGAAGCTCAGGCAGACAGATTTCAGGTTGATATGAGAATGCTATGTCCAGTGGAGCTGCTGATAATGTGGAGTGAACTCTTCAGGAGGTGATAAATTCCCCCTTCATTGAGGTTTTCAACATTGATTGGATCAGATGACTTTCAAATCAAATATGGCTAATTAGTCTGAGGTCAGAACGTAGTTGTAAACAAAACATGTTTAGAACCAAGGTGGCAGGCCTCCAAATGTGCACAAAGTGTATTATTTTCTTTTTTTCTCCTCAGCCCAAGGTTTATTAATATTTGCGGAGTTGATATCTGCGGTTAAGAGGACATTGGCTCGTCTCCTTGTCATCATTGTGAGCTTGGGTTATGGCATTGTGAAGTAAGTATCAGTGTATTGAAAAGGTGCTGAGTCTCCAGTCTTGTGATTTAATCCATCTACATTATGACCTCTGTTGAATCAGAAACTTCTCAGTCATAATACGCATTCCATAGATAATACAAATCTACAAGAACATGTCTTTAAAGGATTTCCATGTACTGGCTACAAGAACATGTCTTTAAAGGATTTCCATGTACTGGCTATATTATGATATCCTGAAATAAAGATCCTGAGTTTGAATTCCCTTAACCTTTTATAGTTAGATGAATGAATATTCAACATAAGGATAATACAAAATCCAAAATGATTCTTGAGATTCAAATGATTTTCTGTTTCCTAGACAGTACAGTTATGCTTTTATGCCTATATTTGAGTGTTGTGAGAGATAGTGGGGTTAAACACAAAAATCTCTGACTGAAACCTGGCTGTCCCTAAGAACCCTATTTCTGTTGATGTCAAGCAAGCCTTGTCTCACATACCTGTGAACCACTGGGCTTGAATGTGGGGGGACTTGTCCTCTTTATTCTTACTGCTTTTTGCAAACCATTGTTCTTCTTCCCTAAAATTTTCTGATTCCCAGAAGGTCAAGCTGTCAGACAGGATCACCTGCTACATCTTAGTGCAGGACAGCTTCCAGATTTCTTCCCTCATCCCTTAGTCCTCTCAACACTTGCTTCATTGTCTTTCTCCCCAACACTTCATCTATCAGAATTCACAGAGATTTCAGTGTCCATGTGGGTGATCCTTTAACCTGATCTCACTTCCTCACATCTACTGGTCTTGCCCTTCACCTGATCTCAGCTACTGATTTCCACAGTCATTTTCTATACCTTGTTAATATGTATAACTGTACCCTCTCCATAATCCCAATTTTAAGCATCCATTTTTTTAGCTATCACCTCCTATCTTTCCCATTTATTTTCTCTAATATTTCAGCTTCAGTCATCCTTTGACTTCTGGTCTTTGATCCTAACACCTTTCAGTGTCCCTCCCCCCCTCATGTCTTCACATTCTTCCTTTGACTTAGATTCCATGGTCCAACAGGATAGTGACATCCTTGCATGCACTCTGAGCCTGTTGCCTTTCTCTTTGTCATCCTCCCTTGACAAAACCCCAGCGTTGATTAAATCCAGCTTTTCATCTGCTTCAGGCTCACATGAGAGGTAGAATCTGCCCAAGAAGGACATCTGACCACACTGCCTGAGCTCATTTTACATTCGTGACCACTAGTTTCAGGTGCACCCTTAGAGCTGCTGGAAGTTCTCAGTTTATTTTGTCACCTTCCTACTCTGCAGAAGACCATTTTACCCCTTCTTTTCTCCCCTCAAACATCGAGTACCCTACCTCCATCCCTCTTGGCTGACCTTCGTTCTTCACCGTGAAAATAGAAGCCATCAGAAGAGAATTTTGATGTGTTTCTGCTGTCATATCTGTGTCACCCAATGTCTGGACCTCTTGGAAGGCATGGACCATCCCTGCTTGTGGCCAAGTCCTGCCCTTGCCCTTGTGCTCTTGATCCTATTACCTCTCATCTGTCAAAGAAACTGCTCTAGTGTTCGATTCTGTTTTCTCCTCTATCATGAGTTTTCCTCTCTGATAGGTCATTCCCATCAGCATGCTGTTATTTCTACCATCTTCAAAAGAAAAGCCCTCCCTTAACCCCACACAGCCCTCTCCTTTTCTTCTGTCTCATTTCTCTTCATCCCTTTGCAGCATAACTTTTCAAACAAGTTGTCTGTACTCAACTACTCCTATTCTTTTGAACATAGCCTATTGAGGTTCTGCCCCATCACTCTGCTGAGACTGCTTTTGTCAGGGTCACCATGACCACTCCTTGCTACATCAGGTGGTCCCTCCAAGCCCTCATCCAGATGCTCTGTCACCTGCTTCACTCATGGAGCCCTGGGTTGGATTGATTTCTAGGGTTCACTTTCTTTTTTCCTCTCACCTCATTGGCTGCTGCTCCTTCCCAGTGTTCTCTGCTGATCCTCTTCATCTTCCTGGTCTGCAGCATTGGTGTGCCCCAGGCTTAGGCTTCAGACCTCTGCTCTCGGAACTTGCACTCCCTGGGTACTGTTATCTAGTTCTGTGGCTCTAACTTCAAAAGATGTCCAGAATGAACAGTCCCCATTCCCTTCACCGCTACCAGCCTGGTCCAAGCCACAATCTTCTCGTATAGCCTCCTAACTGGTTTCCCTGCCTCTACACTTGTCTGCTGACAGCCTTTTCTCAGCACAGTGATGGATAAGATGATCCTTGAATTGTAACTCGGATCTTGGTACTTTGCTGCTCATTTCCTCAATAAAACCCAAATCCTGTTCTGTGGCTTTTATGATGTGGTTCCCGACTGTCTCCCTGACCTCATCTCCTGCTCCTCTTGCCTTGAACATTGCTCCATCCTGCTAGCTTTCCTGCGGTGGTTGTTCTTAAACACAACTAGTACTCCCTACAGTGCCATACAGGCCTCTGCTTGTAACCTTCTCCCAGAACCAGAGCATGGTTTACTCCCTCACTTCTTTCAGGTCACTGCCTCACTGTCACCTCCTGGGGGAGATACCCTGTCATGCTCTCTAATGTAGTATACACCCACCTCACTCTGCTTCCATCTTTACTGTAACACCATTGGGATGTATGTGTTGGTATTGGTGGTCTCTTCCTTCCCCACACTGGAATTGAGTTCCATGGGGTCAGAGCTTTGCCTTTATTGTGCCCTGAAGCCCCAGAGCAGTACCTGACACATAGTAGGCACTCAGTAACTATACATTAAATGTATACATGTATGCTCTTGTGCTCAGGATAGGTGTAGTTAACAAGATTTTAGCCAGGAAATCTCTTCCCCTGCCGTTGGACTTTTACTGTGATTCTTTCTCAAATGCCTTTTTGGTCTTAATGCAGTGCACAGAACCCCAAGACTTCTTGTTGTGGAATCTTAACGGTAGCTCATAGTTCTGGTTATCAACATCTGCTGTGGAGTGCAGTTGCTGTAAAAGGAATAGGGAATTGAGCTAGATGAGTAAGGGCACAACCTCTTTTTGAATGAATTTTTTCACTGTCAACTTCTTGTATTCAGTTCATAGAAAGTGAGAGCAATAAAAATTGTGGCTATTTGGGAGTTCCAGTTCGCTGGTTATAATGAATCATAATTTGAATTAACCAAATTAGATAGTCTTAAACATGAGCTGTGTACATTAGTTTTTAACTTAAATTTTATTTTTAAATGCTTAAATATTTTTGGAAACCAGTTTTTCTTCTAATTACTCTGAAAAGAGTTTTTTTGTATGTTAATATATATGTGCAATAAATTATGATTTGTAAATGTCATGAAATTTCAGTTCTGTTTTCAAATTATTAATTGCAAAAGTCATCATCTTTGTATTTTCCCAATTCATTCATATTTTAAAAGAATAAAAAATGTCCTCAGTTCTTTTCTGTTTAAAGAATGAAAAACGAAGTCCGTTAACACTCTTGTTTTGGTTACTGAGAGGCAGTGATCAGAAGGGAGGTAATGAATGGAATTAGCTCTCCTAATATCCTGCCCTTTCTCTGCCCAGTTACAAGCTCAGTGGCTTATCTGTTATCAAAACAGATCTCAGAACTACTATTAATTAATGTTGTTAAAAGAATTAAAGTATAATCTCTGCCAGTGACTGTCAAAAAACCCATTGCCATTGAGTCAGTTCCAATTCACAGTGATCTATAGGACAGAATTGAACTGCCCCATAGGGTTTCCAAGGCTGTGCATCTTTACAGGAGCAGGTTGCCACATCTTTCACCCTCAGAGCACCTGGTGAGTTCGAACTGCCAACCTTTTGGTTAGCAGCCAAGCGCTTAACCACTGCACTACCAGGGCTCCATCCGGTGACTATTAGAAGGTGGCACTTACCTTCCTAGGTTTCATCAATCCACTCTTCTAGTCCATGGAAATAGTCCCTGGTGTATGTTAATTAGAGCCCCTGGGTGGTGCAAGCAGCTGATCGCTCAGCTACTAACAGCAAGGTTGGAGGTATGAGTCCACCCAGAGGCTCATCAGAGGAAAGACCTTGTGGTCTACTTCCCAAAAAATCAGCCATTGAAAACCCTATGGAATACAGTTTTACTTCGATACATATGGGGTTGCCATGAGTCGGAATGGTCTCAACAGCATCTGGTATGTTAATTACATTACATAAATTTCAGCAACCAAATCCTCTGGCACTTGTGCAGCCTCAGAATGTTGCTTCAGGGAAATCTCCACAGCTTCAGGTTCTAGAGAAAGAGACACAGGCCTGTCTTGTCTTTCTTCCCAGGAAATGTGTGGCTTTTCTAAAGCATCTTAAGGGTAGGAGCAGACTGATTTGATTAGATAGGGACTTCTCTGGTATTGGAAATGGGTGCCGGTTATTATATTCAGATACATTCTACTTACTCATGCTTTTTTTTGTTTGTTTTTTTCTTTGTTTCCTCTTCCTCAATCCAGGCCTCGTTTAGGAACAGTCATGTACCGGGTGATTGGACTGGGGGTTCTTTACTTTATCTTTGCAACTATTGAAGGCGTGATGAGAGTCATTGGGGTAAAAACAACATAATTCCTCTACCACCTTCTTTTGTTCTTGCTGTGAAGTATGATTTTACTTTATATATCCTGAGATGAAGTTTTAAGGGTAGGAAATTTATGGAAAAGGCCCAGTTTGAACTTCTTCCTATGGAATGTTTCCCTTTTAAAAGTACTTCCTTAAAAGAAAAGGCTAGATAGAGCATTTCTTAAAATTTTATCATTATGAAGACACTACTTGATGTCATCCCAGGAATTGGCACCATCCCGCAAATGCTCATGGTTGTTGTTTACAAAGAACATTTTGTCTGTCATTATACAATTTGTACACATTTATATCTTCCGTAACGCTTGATTTAAAAAGTACCAAGTGAACAGGAAGTTAATTATGCCCTTCAAGCATACAAAGATTACATTTTATCACTCTTTTAAGTCTCATTTGGTTATAAGTTTTGTCTGTCTCTTGTAGACTCATTAATTTGGGGACTTAGCATATCCACTTTGAGGAGAAGGAAGCTTTCAGGGAGAACAATGAGTGATGATGTAGGCAGCAACTCTACTCTGTAGTGAAGGGTCAGAATATATATGTCTGGGGAAGACCCCTAGCTTTCTGGCTTTCTTAATAAATGGTTGAATACTAAGTGATGAAGAAACTTAATATATTTTACCTGATTCAAAGAATCTTATAATTTTTAACCAAAATGTCTTTTGGATTAGATGTATAAATCAGACCACTGTGCAGAGTGGTTCATCTGTATATTCTCACGTAAGTTTACTTCACATATTTGTCCTTAAAGCAGGACATTTCAATGATGTTAAAAAGCCTCATTCTTCCTGTTGTCTTTGATTCATTTGCATTCTGTGTTAGATGCACCTGCTGTTTTAATCTTTAAGTATATTATTTTCACCTTTACATAATAATGAGGAACTCTGCATTTATATATATAATTCACAGGAAATTAATCTTTGCTAGAAAGAAAACAAAAAATATAGTTCTCAGTCAACTCTTGATTAGTCACAGAATAAGTTTACATGTGGTTCCCTTATTTTTTTGTCTGTGTCCTTTCATATGCAGTAGGAAAGAGCAGGAGTCCATTTAATTACCTGTTAGAGTAGCCCTGGCCATATGTTTTGTGTGGAGTTGGGAGAGATTGAAATGGTGGACCTAAGTGAGGTTGGGGACATGATGCTTTTCTTTTTATTGTACTTTAGATGAAGGTTTACAGAACAAATAGTTGCTCATGAAACAGTACACATATTGTTTTATGACATTGGTTAACAGCTCCACGACATGTCAACACTCTCCCTTCTCGACCTTGGAGGACTTTTTTTGGTGAAAATATACATAGCCAAGTTACACCATTTCAAAAGTTTTTACATGTACGGTTCAGTGCCATCGATTACGTTCTTCCAGTTGTATGCTATTCTTACTATCCTTTTCCAAATTATTCCATCACCATTATCTTCAACTCATTGCCCCCTAGCCTTCCCATCAAACCTTTTGAGTTGCTGTTGTCAATTTGATCTCACATAGATAATTCTTTTTTTTTGTACCTTATATGAAGGTTTACAGAGCACATAGTTTCTCATTAAACAGTAGTACACATATTGCCCTGTGACAATGGTTAACAACCCCACGACATGTCAACACTGTCCATTCTCAACCTTGGTTTCCCTATCACCAGCTTTCCTGTCCCCTCCTGCCTTTTAGTCCTTGTCCCTGAGGGACATGATGCTTTTTATTTGCCATTCCATAATACAGTTTTACTTTACTATCATCAGATAAGTTGATGACAAGTTAACACTTGTTGCTGCCAAAACAGTTAATTCTTAGGAAATAGAAATCATTTATGTCACTTTTGTAAATGATGAGATAAGCTAAATTGTTTTTCATTATCAGTTGATAATTGTTGTAGCATAATGATTACATTCAGTTTTTGTTTTGTTTTTCTATTTCTTTCAGGGTTCTAACCATTTAGCTGTTGTTTTGGGTGACATTATTTTAGCAGTTATTGACTCCATTTTTGTATGGTTCATATCCTTTGCTATGTCCTTCGGAAAAGTTTCTTGTGTCATCAAAGACAGATTGTTTTTAATTTGTAATAATAGAAAGAAATACAGTTATGTCATTATTGTTACTTTAATATAGGAATTTAGTTGAAGGAGAAAAAGTAACAACTTTCATAACCTCAAACAAGGAATGTCTTTTTTTCTATTTAGTTCAGCAAACATTTAAGTGTTCAATGTGTGTTCTGTACTGAGGAGGCATGGATGAAAAAGTTATTGTCCCTGCATTTTTAAGGAACTCACATCACAGTCTGATAGGGGAAATAAATGTATAGCTAGGAATAATATAGCAATAGTAATTGAAATTTTATAGGGATGCTACCTTAGTGGAGGGGAGAGAGAAATTAATTGTGACCTAAAAAATCAGGAAATACTTCATAGAAATGGTGACATTTAAATTGAGACTGGGAGGACAGATAGGGGTTTACTAGGCAGAGAATTGAGGAAAAGGCATTCTGGTAAGAAATGAGGGGAACAAACAGTTGAAAACATGAAAATATAGAGACAAAGGCTGAATGTCCCAGGCTACCTGGCCTATAGGAGAATATGTGTGGGAGAGTCATGGAAAGTGGTACCATAAGAGAAAGATAGAATGCTGCCTTGAGAATTTAGACTTCCTTCTGAAGGCATAAAGTAGAGAATTGATGCTGAGCTGGCGAACAACATGATGAAAGCTATGTTAGAATGCAGGGATGACAGAGAGGATGACAGAGAGGATGACGAGAGGCAGGAAGGAGTCCTTTGCAGTGGTCCAAAGAAGAGATAGTAAGGATCAGAAATAGAGTAGAGGAACTGTGAAAGACTCCAAATGAGAGACTTACTAGAACTGGGTGACAAAAGAAGGAACAAAAGGCTCCAAAGAGGTCTTTGCGTGTCTCATTTGGGTGGCTGGGCGCAGTGTTGCCTTTTTAAAGCAATGAAGTGAAGGAGGGGCTATAATGGATGAGATTTGAGCTGCCCAGGGCATGAGTATGAAGAAGAGAGTCGGTAATTCAAGCCTGGGTTTGAGAGAGGAATCAAAACTAGTGATGGAAGTCCTTTTTATGTGGGAGAAGGCTACAGCTGTGAACGGTGGCCCAAGGAGAACATGAAGAAAGAAGAGGAGCCAGGATGGTGACTAGGGGGAGGAAAAAGGTGCATGGGAGGAGGACTAGGGTGAAGAAAGGCTGGAGAACCGGGGGATTGTCACAGTGTGGGAACTGGAGGAGAGCTTTGGTGAGGAGGGATGGTCACCAGTGGCCAGTGCTGCACACCCAACTGTGGCCATTCCAGGGTCAGAATGGGATAGCAGAAGAGCAGCTTCAGCGAAGGTGGTGGGGCAAAACCAACATTGCAGTAGGGGAAACAGTAAGTGGGAGAAGTTTTAAGAGGCAGTGTTAACTGGATCCTCACTGATTCATTGACTCAAGTTGAGTCTGGGGAATTCCCATTGTATTTTTCTCTGTCACCGGCCCTCTGATTCATACTGGTGGAAATGGGAGGAAATCTAGAGAAAATGCTTATGACCAGGTCAGAGCATAATGTAGGGTTATGCTGATCCCAGAACAAATTATTCTTATCTGTTTCTTCTATATTTATGTACTTCTCTTTGAAAGTCTTTCCTATAGATTTCACCAAGTTTTTTCTGTTTTCAGTGTCTTTGATATGTATGTCTTTTGGCTTTTATTGTTTTCCTTGTATTTCTTTTCATTTTCTTATCTATGTGTCTCACAGGAAGGGCCAGAGGGCTTGAATTTACCTGTGTCCCTTATCTATAAAAAACCAAAACCTGTTGCCATTGAGTCATTCTGAGTCATAGTGACCCTACAGAACAGAGTAGAACTGCCCCACAGGGTTTCCAAGGCTGTAATCTTTACAGGAGCAGGTTGCCATGTCTTTTCTCCCTCTGAGCAGCTGGTGGGTTTGAACCACCAACTTTTTGGTTAGCAGCTGAGCGCTTAACCACTGTGCCAGCAGGGCTCCTTCCCTTGTGTATAGGGAAGCTCTTTGTCTCTGCAAGTTTGTTAGCAAATGTAACACTGTTTATAGATATCCTAGCGGAAGCACTGGACCAATGCTCAGAAATTTAAACAAAAATTTTATTGAAGGAATAACTTCATTTGGCGGGATGGGGAACACGTGGCATTCAAACTGGCTGGAGTGCATGTTCTGCTTTGTAGGCAGAACAGCAGAGTATTTAGCAGGTAGAATAAACAAATGCAAAACAGTTTCACATCAAAGCGAATGCAAGAGGAGGATGGGAAATTTACAAGGGGTGGTTAGACTACATCAATTTCTAGCCTAACACAAATGTCTTACGCCTCATAAAATTTGACTAAGGCAGTATTTCTAAACATTCTTGGTGTGGGGGTTTAGTGATGGTTTGCAAGCTGTGTCAACTTAATTGGAGTTCTTTAAATGTAAAGAGTGAAGATTAAATCAGCTCTAAATGTAAAGTCTTTTGAAATGTAAACATTGTGCAGCCATCTAAGGGGGAGTGAGATAGGGCCCTGGAATTCACTGGGTGAATTCCTGAAAAGCAGTTAAGATAGCACGTTTATTTACATAAGTGAAAGCCTGAATCTGCACTCTGTGTTAGAGATGGTCAAGAGTTTTACAGCTATGATCTGCCTCCTTACTTTAACAGACTTAAACCTTGGTGGTTTAAAAGGTCAGCAGTTTGAATCCACCAGGCGCTCCTTGGAAACCCTATGGGGCAGTTCTACTCTGTCCTATAGGGTCACTATGAGTTGGAATTGACTTGACGGCAACAGGTTTGGTTTTTTGTTTTAGTTTGTACCTAGTTACTAACTTACAGAGAACTAGCAGATTGCAGTGGAAAAATCCCAATGGGTGAAAATTAATTTGGGAGTCAGAATTGATATATACCTCTTGGTTGTGAAGTTATTCACAGGTTCTAACTTCATTTAACATTATCTGTAAGGTGCCTTCTCTGGGGCCAGCTGTGTAAACATGCTTAACAGGCACAGGGCTTTTTTTTTTTTTCCCAAGCAATAAAACTTTGACAAAAAAGGCTGAATGGTTTCTTAGAAGAGTAGAAATGAAAGTCTTATTTTAATTCAGAATGGAGTTTTTTTATTTAGGTCCGAAGTCACCTAATTCAGATATGCCAGCACCTCAGATTCTAAAATTCACATACACATAGACTTTCTGTGTCCCTTGTTGTGTGCCGTTGAGTCCTTTCCAACGCATAGCAACCCTTTAAGACACAGTAGAACTGCCCCCATAGGGTTTCCTAGGCTGTAATCTCTACGGAGCAGATCACCAGATCTTTTCTTCTATGGAGCCATTGGTGGATTCGAACCGCAGACCTTTGGGTTGGCAGCCAAGTGCTTTAACCATTGGGCAACCAGGGCACCGTTCTCAGTTCCTTGTGTGTTGTTTTTTCTAAGCTCAGTCTTGCTAGTCTTTAAATTTCCTATTTTTGAATTCTCAGTATATTTTCAAATTTAAAAAAAGGCCCCCAAATTTAAGTTGTTATTCATATTCTCTGAAGCAGTGGTTCTTAACTGTTTTTTGGATACTGGGGTCAGTGATGCCTTTGAAAATCTAAAGAGAGCTGTGGAGGCTTTCTCCATAAGGCAAGCACATACACCCACACAATAAATTTTGCATGTAGTGAGGCATTTATATGTAAAATCCTCCTAAGTTATATCCATGGACACCTTAAGTGTCTGTGGACCCTAGTTAAAAAATGAAAGTTGTTTCTTACTGAACTTGCTTGAAAATCGTCTTCTACTTCTGTTCAGTTTAGAATCCAAGTTTATTGAATAAAATTACAGTTAAATCTTTCCAGACATATAAATAAATATCTTGCTCTAGTGTAGTTTTTCATATTTTCTATATTTAAAAAATTTTAAAGAAATTCTGTTTCTCAAAAGGTGGCGTACATTGCTCAGCCTGCATATGAATAGTATTCTAGCTATAAGAGTACTCATCCTCAAAGGTTGTAGATCCTGCTCTGCTGCAGCTGCATCACCAATCAGGGAAAGGCAAACTGCAGTGGGGATGAACCTAGCTATTGGCCTCAGCATTACTATCTCCGGGTCTCAGTTTCAGTCATCTTATTTCTAAAACTGTTTATGCTTGGGGCTTTAACAAGTTAAAGAGTCTGTCCTTCAATTAATTGAGCAGTGGACTTTAAATTTTTTTTAAAATTTGTTTTATCTTTTCTGATAATTTACAATTCTGTATTTCAAAGATTTCTTGTTCTTAACCATTGGGAAAAACAGTCAGTAATGTAACTTGTCAGAAAATTCCAAAGAAAAGTGACTCTAATAACTAATTCCATCTGGATTTGAATGAGGGTAATTTCTCACCTGCATGGACAGCATTGTCTTTGGTCTGTTCCAGTACGTAATTAGCCAAATTGAGAAAACAGTCATAAAGAAATCCAGAAATTAAAATTATCTTGGTTAATATTTAATGGTGAGAGACAGGAAATCTAGTATCTATTTCTGCTTTGAACCCGAATTTTTAACGTTTGCTTTCAGATTACACTTTGGTGATTTTCATTACTGAAATGATAGTGGATTTCCTAAGTGATTACAAATAATAAGCAAAAGAAGCGGGACTAGATACATAATAGAATTGAGTGCTTTGGAAAGTAACCCTGCTTCTCTTGATTTTGATGAACAGTATAACTAATCCTGTAAGGATCTGATTTTCAAGTAATAGGAAGAAAAAATCGCCTAAAAAATTCAAAAGCTATAGCCTTTCTCATGTAGGCCCCTCTTGTTTTTTGCTTCTTTGTTTTATTTTTGCTATTTTGCTGCAGGCGAAAGATTCTGGTCTTGTTCTTCTGGCAAGTCTCCCTCTCTCTCTTCTTGACTCTGGCTTGTGCTGGTGGATATCCTTTTCCTGTCACAGCCACAGGTTCACGTTGATTTTCACTTCAGGATCATGAGGCCTATTTACTTTCATTGTTTATTTCTTTTGATGGAAGAAATGATTCAGAATTTACCTCAATTTAATAGTGGCTTGTTAAGTGGAGACTTAGGCAGTTCCAGATTTGCTTTTCATCTTTTTATTCCTTGGCTTAAAAAAAATCCTTTTGAATTACTAAATAAGATCAGGTTTTAACCTAGAAAACTGGTTTTAGTCAAGGATTTTTATTAAGTATTGGTCTTAATGTGTTTTGGAAATAATGAAATATATTTGCATTTTTGTGAGTTCTAACAATAGTCTTAATTGGTTGGGTTCTTTTACAACTTATTGGTGATTTAGAAAGATTAAAAAACAGTCTTGGTAAAGTAATTTTAGTTCTAAAATAAAATTTTTGATTGATGAATTATTTAGGATTTTAAATAGGCACAAATATAAAGTTTGCCACTTTAATTCTTTTGCTCAACTCTGCTGTTTTGGAACATTTCTCAGGAAAGAAGTGGGTTCATATGTGCCAGTGTTTGTCTCTTAAGCAGAGCTGATTGGTGTGCTGCAGGAGGAGGGAGCTCTTACTTAAGAAGAGATCGATCTGGCTTGAATTCCAGCTACCTTGCTGTGGAGTACATGGAAGAGTCTTCTTTTTGCTTCTTCATACTCAGCAGTGTTGAACTTTGCCTGAGCCCTGTGCTTCTGGAAAACAGTGATGATCAAGAAACACTTCCCCGCACTGCTCCGCCTTTCCCCCCTCCCCTCCCACAGCTTTTTATGTTCCAGGAAAAGGTTTACTGCAAAGAACCACCCTTCCCTGTATGACTTTCATATGACCCACAAATAACTCCTTGTTGACTCTGACAAAGCCAGAAATCAAGCCTCCACATTCCTGTTCTTTGCCTCAGAAATGATTAACTAAACTGTTTGTACACCTTGGTCATTCTGGACAAAACACTTGGCTTGGCCAGAATCTATTTAAGCACTTTCCTTCCTCTAGATCCCTGAACATTGACCCAGCCTCAGCCTCAGCCAGCCTTCAACCTTTCCTTAATGCCTCCCCCTGAAAATTGGCTGACTTCAAGGAAAAATAGTTCTTGAGCAACTGTCCAGTCACACCATGCACTCCCCCACACCTGGTTCTTTCTAGCCTTGTTTACTCCTCCCTGTCAAAGAAAAGCCCTTTTCTGCCTGACCTTTGAGAACGTGCAGATCTTATGGTTGGAGCATTCTCCCTATGGCAGTAGTCCTTTTGAATAAAGTCTCTCCTTACTAGATCCAGATTTGTTTTGCCGTATTTCAGTTTTGTAATTTACAAAATGGAATTGGTAGCTGACCTAACTTCTTAATTATGGTTATTCAGAGGATAAAACAGTGATAGATTAGAATGAACAAACAAATAAGAAACAAAGACAAAAGCACAAGCCAAATGGCATGTTATAATGTGATCTCTAAAGAGTGTGTGACCCAAGGGGACTCGACTTGTAGCGTGTGCATTGGTCTCTCCTGCGTTGCAGGAGCGTGGCCTTGAAGGAACACATCACAGGTCTTCTTGCTTGCATTTTTCCTTAAAGTTTGTTGATTTAGTTCATATGATGGTAAGTTGTAAAGCAAAATCTATGATAAAGGCAGTATTATAATTACACAGTGTTGGCTAAGATAACATTTTCTGTGTTTTTATTAGCTTCACATTTTCAAACTATATTGAGCAATACTAACTTTGGAAATATAGTAGAAGATTCTTATTTTGTTTTAAGTATTTGTAACTATTTGAAATGTTTTTCCTTAACTTTTTTCACATTTTCATAAGTTTGGCACAAACTGTAAAGACCCTACGGTTAAGAAAGAACACAGTGAAATTTTCTTTATACAGGCATTTTACAAATACTCTGATCTTTGCTGTACTGGGTAAGCGATTTAATTTTTCATATAATAAATTATGTTAATATTACATTATAAAAATGGCATGGCAGGGGCATCTGACCTCCAAGGCTGATTCCTATGAGGCAGAGGTCAGACATGCCTCCACCCTCCAACCTTTCTTCCAATCTGACACCAACCGTCCCTCCCACGGCACTCTGCTTCTCTGCTAGGTTCAGTAATTCGCTGCCATGACCACACAGAACTCACAGACAATACTCACGATTATGGGGTTTACTGGGGAAGTAACAGGTTATATAATTCAGGTTTAGGAACACTCAGCGTACAGTTCTTCAATCAGGACAGCCTCTTCTCAGCCATACCCACAGGCATGCCTCTCTCTGTTCCCTCGGCCTCTGCCCTGCTCAGGCAAGTGTTACAAAGCTCATTTAGGTCTGCTGATTAGTGCCTGGAGGCACCCCACTCCGCCAGTAAGCCTTGGCCCAAAGGCGCTCAGCTCTCTTGCTCCATGTGTCAGCACACCTACTGTAACCGCCTTGCTCCATGGGCCAGGAGGTCCACTGTACCATCTCCTGCTGGTCTCCTAGTTCGGCTGCCTCTGCTGACACCATCTCTCTGCCTCTGCTTCTTGCTGTCTCCAGTGTTAACAGCTCGCTCTGTGTCTTCTGGGTCTAGGAGGTCTCAGCACAGGGATCCCAGATCCAATGGATGCACTCCACACTTAGCTATCCCTTCTTTTTTGGTGGTAGTAGCTCCCCCTCTGCTCTGGGATTGACTTCACTTTTAAGCCAATCAGAATGGCAAAACTGACCAATCCCCTCATTAGGGTGCCATACACCTTATTTACATTGTTAGCAAGCTGTCCCATCCGCTTGGTGGGCCACAAACACTTTATTTGAGTAGTCTTTACCCAATCATTTGGTGGGAGTTACAAAGACTATGACCAGAAGGACTGTATTAAGTAAATCACTGCACTGCAGGCATGTTTTTTTAAAGGTGACTTTTTATATTTCAGCTTCTGTAGTGTTTATGGTATGGACAACTAAGACATTTAGAATTGCAAAATGCCAATCAGTAAGTATAACCTTTCTACTTAAACAGTTTTCACTTTTAATTATATAATTTCATTTTGTATAATTTTAAAGAAATTTTTGTATTTGTAAATAGAGATAATTCCAGTGGGGGATTTTCCATTTAATTTGAATTCTTTTCTATAGAATTATAAAATCTTTTGCCTCCTTTAAATGACTCTGAAAAGTTCTTCCTGAGTCGTCTTTTCCTGTTATGTCCTTCTCTTCTTTTTATATACTTGAAAGAGAATCCTGTCTTGCAAAATTTAAGGTAACAGGAAATCTTTTTCTTGTTTTTCTTTCTGCATATCATGAAATTAGGTCATTTTATATCTGCCCCTGTTAAATGAGACTGTAAATGTTAAGTCTCACATGTTTCTGGGATGGTATAATCATGGACATTCAGGAGATATTCTTGATGGGTTTTCTAGTCAGAAGATATATTTCTTAGACTTGGAATATAAAAAGCCCCTTCTTGGGGTTTTTGGAGATTTTAAGCTAGTCTCCAGTTCTGTATAAACAATTGCAAAGAGCCCTCTGAAAATCCTGGGCTGCCTTCTACTGCCTTAGGGACAATTTAAAGGGAGAAGAGGCTGAACTTCCTGGAATTTCTTTTTTCTCCTCCTCCCAACTTAGTGTTGTTCACTTGAACTTCTAAATTTTAATTTTGTTTTTTATCTTTCAGTTAACCCTAAAATTTCATGGAGGGGAACATTTATAATGTGAACAACCCTTTAGAAACATTTTCAAAGCATATATAATACAATCTCCTGTCCTACTAAAAGCAAAATAAGCTACTGGGAAAATATTTGCATTGAGATTTTTACATCAGGTTCTAGTGCCACTGAGTGATCACTGTCAAAATACCCATAGTCGGCTTGGTTCTAATTCTGCTATTAACTTGCCTCATGACTTTGACGAAGTCCATTCGTCTTTTTAAGCCTTACTATTCTCTCCTGGAAAACAGGAAGATTAAAGTACCTCTGAAGCCCGTTACGAGTCAGAATCAACTCAGCGGCAGTGGGTTTTTGGTTTCTGAAGCCCATTTAAATTTTAATTCTCTGGATGATAATTTAGTTTTATGTTAGGATCTGATTCCTATGAGACTGAAGGAAGCATTAATTTTGATTTTATAAAGATAAACATTTTGAGTGAATTATTTGATATTTCTTAGTTTTTATGTTGAAAAATGTGTGCTTGGTGATTTGAAAGACTTACTGGTAGGAAAGATTTTATTAGTACTTGTCATTGAAGAGAGAATCTATGGTTAGCAGAAAATTAATTTTTCATTTTTGGATTGTCCTTTTTATAGGATTGGATGGAACGCTGGGTTGATGATGCATTTTGGAGCTTCCTTTTTTCACTTATCCTTGTTGTAATAATGTTTTTGTGGAGACCATCAGCAAATAATCAGAGGTACCTAACATAGGAAACTTCCATTTGGCAAGCATTTGTTGATCACCTGCTACAATGTCAAAGACACATTTATAGAAACTGTAGGGAAGTAGTCTTTGCTTTTAAGGATTACATGGTCAAATGAGGAGACAAAAATAACAAATGCAAGATACTGAATTAAGAGATATATAAACCAAGTCTAGAGGGAAGAGGGAAAAGAAAGACTTCATGAAAGAGGGAGTATGTATGTTAGACCTTGAGGAAAGGAGTAGGACAGTGAAAAATTGAGAATGGAAAGAGTATACATTTTCTGGGGTAGTAGGAAAAGACATATGCTTTGGAGTTGAGCGAGGCATGCAGTTTGGCCAGTACTACTTATATTGGAAGGAGATAAAGCTAGACAGGAGGGTGAGGCCAAGATGGTAAAGCACTTGAATGCTAAGTTCAGAAAGTTGTACTTTAGACTGCATGTAATGGGGAGCTCCACCTTCTCTTGCCACATCCTTCTTCCCAAGGGAATGCGCTGTTAAGTTTATTGTAAATACTTCTAGGAAAAAAATGAAAAAGTTTATACCAGTATATGTATTTCTCCGTCCGTTTTAAAAATTATACAGTAATGATAATACATATATCCATACCCTGTTCTGCACCCTCTTGTTTAAACTGTATCTTTCCGTATCATCACATATAGATCTACCATATTGCTTTTACTGGCTATATGGTATTCCATCATATGAATGTGCAGTCAATTCTTACTATTTGTGGCAGTTATAATCATCATGTATAGATCTACCATATTACTTTTACTGGCTATATGGTATTGCATCATATGAATGTACAGTCAATTCTTACTGTTTGTGGCAGTTATATTCTATAAAGTCATTTCAAACACATGAATTAGTGAAATACTCAACCATTGTCCTTAGGGAAATACAAGGTTAGGTGCCTCTGAGACGCTGTTCACAGCACTTCATCAACTGATCAATACATAATCTTGTTTTATGTGTGCTTCTGTTTAAAGACACCTTATTTAATATATGTTGCTGAGTCATTAGCATTGAACTCACGGCCAGCAGTACTGTAACTCATGCCTGAACAGAGCTTATCTAACACATATTTTCTCTGTAAGGCACATCACAGGCCTGTTGCACTTAGAAACACTAGACAGTAGTTCAGCACTGCATGGGGGCCTTTTTAAAGTGAAATCACTAACAAAAACACGAAAATGTGAAAAATGTGGCACTAAATAGACCACAAAAAGGACACTTGTTTACAGTATGAGAGCTGAAGCAAGAAGGCAGAGTGTTACCATGTTTGACCTTGGCCGAGAATGTATGCATTGGGTGACTCATATTTTTCACCACTCTGCACATGTCCACAAATGACCACAAAAGTGCCATGAGTGTTGATTTAGAGGATAAAAATAAACCTGAGTGTGTAGACAAATTCCTAAATAGGGACTCCGTCCGTAATGAGGACCAGTTTCTGATTGTTAGACAGGTGGCTGGGTAACAAAAATACCCAGTTATATGCTCAACTGCTAGCTGAAAAGTTGATGGTTTCACTTACCCAGAGGCTCCTCGGAAGACAGGTCTGACGATCTTCTTCCAGAAGGTCACAAACCCTGTGGAGCAGTTCTCCTCTGCACACATGGGGCCACCATGAGTCAAAATCGACTCAACAGCAACTAACAACAACACTTATTAGACATTTGTTTCTAGATTTTTGCTGTTAACAATGCTAGTTGAATGCTGTTGAACATCTGTCTTAGTGAACATTTGTTAGTATAGAATACAGTAAATGTATCTTTATTGTGATAGATGTTGTCAGAAGACCTTCTAGAAAGGTGGTGTCAGTTTACACTCCATCAACAATGTTTGAGAGGAAGATTTGTGACCTTATCACCTAGTAAATGTAGCTCAATCAGTGTGCTTTTTTTTTTTTTTTAAATTTCCAATCAGATAAGCAACTCCCTTCTTAATGAGGGGATGAGCTATGAAGTGGTGGGCAGGGAGGTAAACCTGAGACAGCAAAAAAAGGTGCGGTGAAAAGTTCCCTTCCCCCAACATTCTATGTTGCAAAATTCCCTTCTAGAAAGGTTTTATCCATTTATGCTTCTGCCAGCAAGGTATGAGCGCTCATGTTTCACAGTTTCCTCACAATAACCTTTGCTAATTTGAGAGTAAAAAATTTGAACTTCCATTCTTTAATTGATGAGAAACTTTTAAAACAGATTGTCTGTATACAGTGACTGTTGTAGATATATTTAACCTGAAAATTGGACAGGTTTAAACATGCTAGTAAAATTACTCCTTGTTTTTGTTGTAGATATGCCTTCATGCCCTTAATAGATGATTCTGATGATGAAATTGAAGAATTCATGGTAACATCTGAAAATTTAAGTGAGTGATTTGTTTTTAGTGACCATTTTACATATTGTAACAGAAATATTGTTCCTTTACCTATGATGCAAGGTCACATACACTGTAGGTTTTTTTTCCCTGCAAAATATTCATAAACCTCTATTATGATATGCAATCACAAACAAAAAAGCCAGTGATTAAATTTTCAAGATGGTTAATGTAATTTAAGCATTTGTTACTTGTTTGCTCTTAAAGTTTAAGTGTGAGAACTCTATGGTTACCCAGTCAGCAAAAACTGCAGTGTAAGCAGTATGGCTTCAGTGTCCTAGCTTCTTTTTTGCTGCTTTCATCTCACTCTCACCTTTCATGCTTTGCCGACTCTGCTATTAAGAAAGGAAATAGGGAAAAACTTATCTACCGCTAAGCTATTCAGTGTATTGGGGTTCCAGCTTCCAGTAATGATGGAATCACTTGTATTGGACTAACCTTCCTGCTGTTGCTATTATAAACTCTGGACAAAATATGTATTAAAAATACACTTCTTACCTACATTTCCAAATGGTATAGTAAAGCCCACACTCTGCCCAAAGTTTCCTCCATTAACTCTCCTTTAAAAAAGAATATATTTCCTTTTGGATAATTGAATGTGAGGCTATACAGGAAAGTATCATATAATTTTATATCTGTAATGTTTCTCATTATAGCTGAAGGAATAAAATTCAGAGTCTCTAAAACGATTTCCAATGGAGCAGCGAAACCTGCCACTTCTGATAATTTTGTGAGTACAGTTTATATTTAATAGACTCTCCATCTTTAATGCTTTAGAAATCTATAATATGACTGTCATACTCATTGATTATCAGGAAACATTTTTTACTAAGGTGCTTTTTTTGGTATGAAAATGTGTTTCCAAGGAGCAGTACTAGTTAAATACCAGAACTGAAATATCTGTTTTAGATCCTCACTTCTCAAGTGCTGCTCTTGAACCAGAGCAAGAGAATCATCTGAGAACTTGTTAGAAATGCAGAATCTCAGGTCTGCCCCAGGCCTTCTGAATTTGAATCTGGTTTTTAACAAGATTCCACAGGTGTTTCATGTGTACATTAAAGATTGAGAAGCTTTGTTATAGCAACAGCTTGTGTTAACTCTTAAAAATTTAAAACTTATTTTAGAAGCCATCTTATATAACATTCATTAACTGTTAGGAAAAGGACTTTATGTGTTACCTATGCAGTTACAAAAATCAGCATAAGTTGTTTTTTTTTTTTTAACTATGGAAGCTTAAATAAAATGGTAAAATACGTGGCAGAGATGAGTTTTAAAATGTTTCATATGTTAAATATCATTATGAAGGAAACTGGAAATGGGTATTGAAGTTTTATATTCTGCTTTCTTACAATTATATAGTTATGATTATTACCATGTAAAAATTCATGTATCCACATAAGTTCTGACAGGACAGATGATATATTGAAAAATACCTTTTTTTGGTTGGATTTGGTAAATTCTCAAATTTTGATTTTTGGTAATGTAATAATTCTTTAAAATGTGTTTTTTCAGTAGTTTTATGGTAATTCAGCTAAGTTTTTAAAAGCTACAAGTTTAATTATCTAGTGTTAAGAGTTATTAAGCTTACAGTTGGCTAAGGCATTTCCCTCTTATTTTAGAGATCTGTCTTACTTTAAGGAGCCCTGGTGGTACAGTGGTTAAAGTGCTTGGCTGCTGACCAAAAGGTCGGTAGTTCAAACCCATGAGCCACTCTGTGGGAGAAAGACTTAACAGTTTGCTTCCTTTAAGATTACAGCCTTGGAAACCCTACGGGACGGTTCTGGTCTGTCCTTTAGGGTCACTAGGAGTCAGAATTCGCTCGACAGCAGTGGGTTTGGTTTTGGTATATTAGTTTAAAGCTCAATATTTGCAAACACATCAAGGGAATACTTTTTTATTTCTCTAAACTAAGTGCCGTCCAGCTCTTGATCAGAAATTGGGGGCCTAGATCCACTCAAAGAATCAGGGTTCCTATTAATATTGGCTCAGCCACTTTATCTCTGTCTAAGGTAAGCAAAATGTAATTAATAATTAATACTAGAACCAGAGCATTCCATATAGTCAGTATTATGGATTGAATTGTGTTCCGCCAAAATGTCAGCTTGGCTAGGCCATGATTCCCAGTATTGTGTGATTGTCCACGATTTTGTCATGTGTTTTTCCTATGTGTTGTAAATCCTACCTCTATGATGTTATGATGTTAATGAGGCAGGACTAGAGGAGTTATGTTAATGAGGTAGGACTCAAGCTACAAGATTAGGTTGTGTCATGAGTCTCTTTTGAAATGTAAAAGAGAGAAGCAGGCAGAGATGGGGGACCTCATACCAACAAGAAAGTAGCACCAGCAGCAGAGTGCGTCCTTTGGACCCAGGGTTCCTGTGCTGAGAAGCTCCTAGACCAGGGGAAGATTGATGACAAGGACCTTCTTCCAGAAATGACAGGGAGAGAAAGCCTTTCCCTAGAGCTGGCACCCTGAATTTGGACTTCTAGCCTCCTAAACTATGAGAGAATAAATTTCTCTTGGTTAAAGCTATCCTCTTGTGGTATTTCTGTTATAGCAGCACTAGGTAACTAAGACAGTCAGTAGACCACAAAGAAAATTTTTTACTTATTTTATAAACCACAGTATACAGTATAACTTTTATTTTTCCTTGTCCAAATGAGATAACTATAAGCAAATTTCTATTAAAAAAAGAAATCTAAATAACATAGTGGCCTGCTTCCTTTTCTTGTCCCCTGCAGGTACATAAATAGAAGTGATACACCTAAATAGGCTTTTCAGAATTTAGAGTATTCGTGCCATCATCTTGAGATCGCATTCCTGTTGAAAAATTATAAGCTCATGGTATAAAAACTTAGGAGACATAATAAGTGCTCAGTGCAAATCAATATTCTTGCTATTTTCTATCTTATGTTCAACTGTATGTGTATTTACTGTGGTTTCTAAGGATAAAAAAATAACACATATGCATCTAACTAAAACCAAAAAGAAGAGCGGAAATCTTTAAATACTGGCAAAATTTTTATGTGGTAGTAATGCTAACTTTTTAGGACATATGTAGAGACTAAAAAGAATGTCATGCATTTGAATTGAAATATTTGAATTTTACTTACATTCTATTAAAAATATTCTGCTTTCAGGTGTTATTAAGCAAATGGCTAATATGTAAATGTTTCTTCAGGATGAAGATTTGAAGTGGGTGGAAGAAAATATTCCCTCTTCATTCACGGATGTGTAAATATCCACTTAAAGTTTGATCTATAATTTAGGCTATAGTTTAGAGAGATAATTCTCATACTTTGTCATGTGCTTTTCAAACCTCACATCTCCATATGTTTTTGTAACGCCCTATTGCCAGGAAATGTCTAATTTACTTCATATGGAACTGTAAAGAAAACAAAGCCCTGGCTTAGCCTCTCTTTATTCTTCCTCTTTTACTGTATAACAGCTATTTTAATACCAGTGGCCTTTGACTAACTCAAGGAGCTGTGGTGGCACAATGGTTAAAGCACTCAGCAGCTAACCAAAAGGTTAGAGGTTCAAATCCACTAGTGGCTCCACAGAAGAGACCTGGCTATTGCTCTTGTAAAGATTTCAGCCTAGGACACCCTATTGGACATTTCTCCTCTGTCTTATAGGGTTGCTGTGAGTCAGAATCGACTCAACGGCACACAACAATAACAACATGATCAGCTCCCATTTTTTTCTGATCTGAGTTATCAGGGTCATTTTATTTGTGTTAACTTTTTGTTGTGGAAGAGCTCAAGCATATGTAAAACCTTTTTTTAAAAACACATAACCAAAATACCGTATATGGTAGGAAAGGTTTTGGAAGAAAAACATGAGCATAGGAAAAATAGGAGGTGTATAAGAACCCGCTCTGGGAACTTTGGCTATTAAGGTTCTTCTGTATTTATGTTCTTTATTACACAAGAATTCCATATAGGTGTTTCCACAGTATATAATAGAATAGCCAAGTATGTTAACATTTTGTATATTGTTCTTTCTTTTCCCTGCCCCATCTAAGTCATATTTAGACAGTTTCTATCTAGTATGATGTCCTTTTTGCCTGAAGAATTTCCTTTACATTTCTTATAGTGCAGGCATGCTGGTAATGAATCTCTCAGATTTTCTCTGAAAAGGTCTTTATTTCACTTATTTTTTAAAAAGTTATTTTTGCCAGGTATATATATACAATTCTTGGTTTACAGTTTTTTCTTTCAACACTTCAAAAGTTGTAATTCCACTGTCTTCTTGCTTGCATACCATATCTTTATGCAAATAATACACACCTTCTATGTTTGTTTGCCAACTGCTCCCTCCCCCATTGAGGTATTTTTGTAAGCTACTTGTGCTAATTTTTTTAAATAGCAACATGTAAAAAAAAATTGGCATAGCAGCACTTACGAAAATACCTCGTGGGGGAAGGAGCAGTTGACAAATGTAGAAGGTGCATGTTATTTGCTTTAAAATATGATAGTTTCTGGAAAAAAAAGTCTGCTTTAGTTCTTATTTTTTGTTTCTCAATGTTATGTGGGGCCTTTTTTTTTTTTTTTTTTTTTTTTCTGATGGCCTTCAAGATTTTCTCCTTACTTTTCACTATAAATATGATGATTCTGGGTGCATGTGTGAGGAAGAGGGGAGGTTGATAATTCATCCTGCTCAGGATTTTCTGAGCTACTTGGATACGTGGTTTGATATTTTTCATTATTTTTGGAAAATTCTTGATCATTATTACTTCATATATTTCTTCTGCCTTATTTTCTGTCTTCTCCTCTGGGATGCCATTTTAACATATGTTAGGCTACTGATATTTTTCCAAAGCTCTTGGATGCTCTGTCCTCTTTCTGATCCCCTAAACCCTCCTACAAAAGATCTGGCGATCTGCTCACATAAAGATTACAGCCTAGGAAACCCTATGGGGCAGTTCTACTCTGTCCTATAGAGCTGCTATGAGTCGGAATCAACTTGATGGCACACAACACCAAATCCCCCCCCACCACACACACTTTCTTCTATTGATGTTTTAGTTTCAGTAGTTTTTATTGATTTATCTTTAAGTTCACTGGTTTATTTTCTTGACTGCATCAAGTCTATTGATCCACCAAAAATATTCTTTTTTATTTCTAGTATTTCCATTTGAGTCTTATAATTTCCATCTCTCTGTTGAAATTTCATATCCATGTGTGTTGTCTACTCTTTATTCGGGTCTTTAACATAGTAAGTTTAGATATTTTAAATTCTTTCATAGTTCAAGCATTGGCTCATATCTCAGTTTGTTTCTACTGATTGCTTTTTCTCTTGAAAATGGCTTCTTCTAGCTTTCTAAATATGTCTTGTAATTTTTTGTTGAAAGCTGGACATTGTGAAAAAGATAGTAGAGACTGAGGTAAATAGCATCTATGCTTGGAAATGGTTACACCTCATCTTTTAGGCCTTTATTATGGGGGAATTAAGTCAATGTGCTGTATTTTTACACACATTAACGCCTGCCTTCCACGTTAGTTTGCCAACTGCGCACTCCCCCTTGCAAGGTATTTTCATAAGCACTGCTATGCCAGTTTTTTTTTTTTTTTAACATGTTGCTGTAAAAAAAAATTAGCATCACACGCTTCTGAAAATACCTCACAGGGAGAGAGTGTGGTTGGTAAACAAACACAGAAGATGTGCATTATTTGTGTAAAAGTACAGTAGTGAGGAGTTGAGCTGGATTTAGGTTTATTCGTTGCTATGATTATCTTTAGTGTACCACTGCTTCAAATTCCTCTGTGTGTGTGTGTGTGCACTTGCATGTGCGCGGGGTGTGGCTGGTTTGTCAGAAAGTTTTTTTCAATGTCTGATCCATCCTTAGCTTTGGACCTTCCCTTTGCACTTGCACCTCAGAAAGAGTCTCTCCATGCTCTTGCCCTTCCCCAGTGGTAGATGGCTGTTACTTGTCACTCATTTATTGCTGATCTGTTGATGGAGGCTAGAGGGGCTTCTCTATTTTCCTGGCCCAGCCTCAGTCTTAAGTAGGCCTTATGTCCCTTGAGTGTTGGGCCTTTCTCAGTGATCCTGCCCCTCTCCTCAGAGTAGGAGATCTCTAATAGTCTGGGTCCAGAGTAGTTTCCTGCCTCTCCCCCATGAAGAGAGATTTTTATTTTTTTTCATTTTCTCCAGCTGTAAGAGGTCATCACCTTCTCCCTAAGGGTGACTGGGTTTGCTGCCCTTCCTCAGTAGCTTAAAGCTTTTGTTCTACAGGGAGAGGATCTGGGTGGGGATCCCCTCCTTCAGTCTTGCACTATCAAGGCACGCTTTCTCCAGTTTCCCATCCTGTTCCCAGTGTTTCTCGTGAGCACACAGTGAGGGTCCATGAAGAAGAGCCTCCAACTGGGCAGTTCAAGGCTGAACTCCCCTTCTCTGCAGCTTTTCTGCTCTCCTTCTAGGACTACATTTACATGTATTTTGGACTGTTTGATATTGTTGCAGTGGTCTCTGAAGTGTCTTTATTTTTCAATCACTTTTCTGTCTGTTCTTCAGATCAAAATTTTCCATTTATATGCCTTTAAGTGCACTGATTTATTTATTTTTTTACCATCTCAAACCTATCGTTGGCCCCATCTAGTGAATTTTTCATTTTCATCCTCTTGGTTATTTTCCTACTGCATATTAAATTATTTACATTTATTCTCCCTTGGGCACCTTTCAGTTTTTCTCTTTGTTACTGTATGATTTTTTTTTTTCTTTACTTTTCTGAGTTTGATCAACTCTTTTGAACTTCTTCCTGTTTTGTTTTTTTTCCTTTTTCTGCTCTTAGTTTTTAAATTTCCTATTTTAGATTGTTTTTAATATCACCAAATGTTCTTTTATGTTATTTCATTAAATTTCAAGTGTTGTATATCTTTCTTCTACTGTAAAATGTTTTGATTTGCAGTTTCTTTTCCTTTTTTTAATGCCCCATTACATAGAATTGGTGTTTTGGGTTTTTTCCTGTTCATAGGCATTTTGTAGAGAGGATTCATAATTTGAGTGCTCTCTTCCATCAGTGTGAGTGAAGCATAGTTTCTTTTATGGGTGAGGTTGATAGCTGGGGAGTGCAGAGAGGGAGAGGTTGGTGTGTCTTATTCTTCTTTTATTTCTACAAGATCTTTAAAATTTCCTCTTTTTCTTCCTTCACAGTCATATCTCCAAAAGATACACTTCTCTGTGTATCTGATTCTCCTTTGACAATAATGATTCTTCAAGGCTGCTGCTTTTGGTCCTGCTCATTTAAGCCCCTTTCCTGTAGGAGGTGCTGTGAACTACCAGGTCACCAACCTGTGCTCTGTATTTTGGTACTTGGTGTTGGACTTTTTTGAAGGGTATGGTTTTGTCTACACCTTGTCTAAGTCCTCCTGCCCTTCTACTCTTCCATATAGCCTCAGGCCTCATTCCCTGCTCTCTCTACTCATGAGCTTGCAGTGGCAGCAAGAAATCTGTAATTAGGTATTTATTTCTGTACTTATTAGGTAATTTCAAGTTTGTGGTGTCTCCTGGTAATGCTGAAGACGTGGGTTGTGTGTGGTTTTGTTTGCAGTTCTTAGTGATTGTATGGTTTTTTGGATAAAGATGTATGGTGCGATTAGGTGGCCACCATTATCTTTTAGATTTGGAAACTCACAACTAAAAAAAATACTTTAGAAGGAAATCTGGTCAGGCTCACCCTCTGCGGTGCCTTCACTTCTTGGTAGAAAGCAGTAAGGCTCCTGAGTAGTTCTCTATGTCTCAGAAAGTCATCACTCTCTACTCTACTCTTTCTTAAATAGAAATATCTGCTGATTATAAAAATTCCTTTGGAATATAAAGATTAAAATGTCTTGTTTGATAGTCTCATGAACCGTTTATGTGAAGTGAGTGAAGCCATATACTTCAAGACAGTTTCCAAAATGTTAGGTTCTTGGGAACCTTCTGAAACCTTGTTCAGTGAACCTTGTTCACTTCTGAAAACTTTAACATGAGAAATTTAGCACAGTGCTGTCCATATGTAATGTATAATTTATGTTGCAAGTGTAGTATTTAAATACACACAGAGAAAACCTTTTATATACATCCATGGAAATGGAACAAAAATTTTGCAAGTATAGGAAAATATAAACAGATCATCAATAACCATATGATGCAGTGTATTCTAGGATATTAGTACAGTATTCGTTATGGATTTTCCTTATCTTTGATAAGCCACTGAGGTCAGATTATCATAGCTCACCTCTTTTTTTAGCACTGAAGACATTAAGTTTCAAGTAGTTGTTTAGCTCACATAGGGAACCCTATTGGAGATTACTAGTGTTTATCTCTAAACAAGGTGCTAAGCACCCAGCAGTCTTCAGGGCCCCTAAAAGCAGTCTCCTTCTCTGGATTTTACTGTTTGTCTTAATAGTATCACTCCAAACTGTCTGATTTGGCTCCTTTCCCACATCTAGTTAATCTCTCCCAGTTCTCTTTCTTCTGCCATCAATGTGGACTGCACTGTAAATAGCATCTTCAGGAGCTGTGCACTGATGTCACTTTCATATTGGACTTTGGCACTCCCCCTCAAAGCTCTACCACACATTGAGACTAGATAAGCTTACCGAACATTTTTACACATTTGTCTTTTGTTTGTATCCACATTTTTCCAGAGCAAAGCTTTTGTTATATGCATCTTCCCCTTTGCAGTACCCTTCATTGGTAGATGTGCAGTCAGTGCTAATAATGACACAGGAGTTAAACAAATGCTTGATTCCATAAATACCCCTTTCCATAATGTTTTCATCCCTCTTAAGTTCTCAAAAAAGCACATGACATTTAGGTTTTTAAATTAAATGACAGACCACCACTTAGATGCTTGTCTAACTATTCATAGTAAAAAAATACCAAGGAATTAAAAAATAAATGCGTAGTTGATGTCAGTTGCATTTACAATTACTCATTTGTATGTTTTAGCCATTGATACTCCTTCAACGTATTAGGCTCTAGAATTGCTGATCTTGCTTTTTTTTTTTTTTTTTCTCATTTTGAAGTTATGATTATTTTTATGCTTCAGTTAATTTTTAAATATAGCATACTTTCTAGAAAGTGCATAAAGCCTAATTGAATGTATAGGTCAGTGAATTTTCAAGATGAACACACTGTGTAACCGAAACTCAGAGGAAGAAATAGAGCATCACTAGTGTCTTAAACTCTCCAAATCATTCGTGACCTCCCCTTCCCAAAGGTACTGCCATCCTGATTTTTATACCTGTAGATTAGTTGTGCTACTTTTAAAAATGTTATCCCTCAATAGTTCATTCATTTCATTTTCTTTGCTGTATAGAATTCTATTGCATAAATATATCACACTTTACCCACTGGGGTTATTTTCAGTTTTGAGCTAGTAAAAACAGTGCTGCTATGAAAATTCTTGTCCATGTCTGTTGGTGAACCTAGGTATTCACTTCTGTTGGCTGTATATATCTGGGAGTGAGAATTGGTGGGTCATAGGGCATGCCCCCATTCAGCTTTAGTAGATATACTGGCATTAATTTTAATAACATTGTAAACTGTTTCCCCACTTTTATTTCAGAGCTCTTCCAGTGTTAGTGGATTCAGATGAGGTAAAAAAATTTTTTTGCTTATTTCCTTGGAGCTGTTATTTTCACAAAATATATTTTAGAAAGAAAGTCTTAAAGTTACTTTTTAAAATGATTGCAAGTTGAGCAGACTGAAAGACACTGTGGATTGGTTTGTGGATAAAGTTTAGAGAAGCTGGGTCCTCATTTAAAAAAGAAATAAGATGAATGCTTGTTGGTGTGAAAGAAGGGAAGAATTATTTTATGAGATTCTGATTTTATGATTTTCTAAGATCTTTTAAATATATAGGTAAGAGTTTAGAAGATTTTAAGATGACAGTTTGTCTAAATTACTCTCATACTTGTAGATGTTTTGCTGGGGTATTTAATAGTTTCTGATTTTCATTCACTAAGTAAGAAATTTGAATAAAGGACGTGGATTTAGGAGAGTTTTTTGAAGATAAAGGTAGTATGAATCACCTGAACATTGAAGGGTGGCCTAAGACAGGAAGAAGTCTGAAGTGTTGTAAGAATTAGAGGATGGATGTGGGGAGCATTCGCTTCTACAAAGGAGGAGGAGAGGGAAGTTACTGGCAGCTGAAGGGTAGTTTATATGGTGGCTGTAGAATATGGAGAGGAGCTACCACTCTGTTCACTGAAAAGGAAAGGAAACAATTTTAGCATCAGTGTAGTGGTTGGACTATGATGGGATGGAAAGATTTGAGAAGGTACACATGTACCTTGCTACAAAACAGTTCAAGATTTATAACTACAGAAAGATATACCATGAAATTATTTTTTTAGGGCATTGAAAGTATTCACTTGATAAATAATTGATTTTTTTTTTTAATTGTGCTTTAGGTGAAAGTTTACAGCTCAAGTTAATTTCTCATACAAAAATTTACACACACATTGTTATGTGACCCCTAGTCATTCTCCCTATAATGTGAGCACACACTCCTCCTTTCTACCCTGGATTTCCCGTGCCTGTTCAACCAGCTCCTATCCCTTTCTGCCCTCCTGTCCCGCCTCCGGACAGGAGCTGCCTATTTAGTCTCATGTATCTACTTGAACTAAGAAGCACACTCCTCATGAGTATTATTTTATGTTTTATAGTCCAGTCTATTCTTTGTCGGAAGAGTTGGCTTTGGGAATGGTCTCAGTTCTGGGTTAACAGAGAGTCCAGGGGCCATGTCTTCTGGGGTTCCTCTAGTCTCAGACCATTAAGTCTGGTCTTTTTACATGAATTTGAGTTCTTCACACCACTTTTCTCCTGCTCCATCAGGGACTGTCTGTTGTGTTCCCTGTCAGGATGGTGGTTAGTGGTAGCTGGGCACCATCTAGTTCTTCTGGTCTCAGGCTGATGGAGTCTCTGGTTTATGTGACTGATTTGTAACTTCAAAAATACATTAATTGAATAAAGTGAGGCAAATCCCTAGATGAGCTATGTCTAAGAAATCCATTTTAGCTTCTTCCCTGCCTCTCACTGGAGATTCTGGACTTGCCTTATTTTCTAGCTAGCAGGAAGTTGAAGTTTTCTGAACTTCTTAGGTAGATAATTGACAATATATTATTACAGTGTGAATTGTGGTTTTTATTTTCTATATTTAATGCTTCAGAGTATATCATGGAATAATTGCTTTGCTCTCCACATAATTGTGACTATTGAAAGACTGGAGAATTTTTTTAGGGTTCTGGAAGCAACTTTCACCTTTTGATGCATATCTTCTTTCTCTTAGGAAATCATGACCAGATCTGAAATGGCAGAAAAAATGTTCTCTTCAGAAAAGATAATGTGATCGGAACCCATATAAGTTGAAGGACCATCTTTCCTCAAGACTAAAGAGCTTTGTTTTCATATAGCTTAACAAGTTTTTGTTGTATGATCTAGAAATCCATGTATTAAAATCAATTCGGGTGGTAGGAGGGTTCTGTAACCCTTTTTAAGCTGACTCAGTTTAATGTCCATTAAATTGCCTAGATTTGGAAATAATCTGAGAAAAGTATTATGATAAAGTTCTAAGCATAAATGCCCTTAGCTGATGGTAACAGGCTTGTGGTTTTAGAATCTTTCTCTTTTCTGTGGAAAATATGACAATAGCAGATTTTTTTTTAATAAACACTTTTACTATTCTTCCTCTAATATTTGAGGTAATGTGATTCTTCTAAGGTATGGTATAACAGTGTTTCCATCTCCTAGAGTTATACTACTGGATGCAGTAATAATTTTCTTTGACTTTTATACTGATTTGATATTAAGTAAAGCTTGGTTAGTGTGGGAACATACAAGCATGTTTATGTGTTCAGTTTTGCTTGTTTTCTGCATAAAGCCCTTGTTTGCAAATATTGCCATGCATAGCAAATCATGGAGTTAGGTCTTCTCTGTCTGAGCTCAGGGAAACACAAGGGTACCATCTTCCCAGCATGGAGAGAGAAGTCCTGAGGGTCAGTTCCAAAGATCTGCTCTGTCCTTGCCGCCGCCCCCACCCCACCCTGGGCTGTGTGGGTATGTGCTGCCACTCAGTCTCCCTGGGGAAGGTGGGGAACACCTGGCCGCATGGCTCCCCCAGAGCACTCCCCCCTGGCGAAACACAAGACTCATTACCAGGGAATCTTGAGGAAAATAGAACCTTATCTTTTACATAATCTTGATATAGCGTTTTCATTTAAAGAAAAACGTGTGTGCGTGTGTATATTTGTGTGTATATGTATATTTAAATGCACACTACATCACTGTTAATCTTGTAATTTCTTAACCTTCAACCATGTGTTACACTTTATTTTGTTTATATGCGATTGAAAATTTTTGTTTTAATATATTTTTAAAAATGCAAAGTATTCTAAACTTGAAAGAGAATTGAATGTAGTATGATGAAAATGTGAATGTTTTGCTGCTTTCATGACCAAAGATACAGGTTAATGGATGTTTAGAATAGGAATTAAAGTTAGTATCTAGTATATCTTTATTTGAAGGAGTTCTAAGCTGGTGAATTGAGAAGTTACTTCAGGGAATTTTGATTGAGAAAGCATTAAAATCTTAACTAGTACCAACACTGAAAGACAACCTTTGATTTTTTTTCACTGTGAAGCCACGAAACATCTGCTTTTTCTTTCAAAAACCTACCGTTGAATGTATTTCTCATTCACTCATTTCACAGAGGTTAATAAAGACTATTTGTTTCTAGTAGTAATGTCTCTTGAAAGATATTTTTAGTAGTGAATGTTTGGAAGGTGAACAGTGTTGGCAGACATTACTGAAAAAGGCATGGTTTTCAAGTTCATTGCTTTGGGACATCTTTTCTAGGAAAAGAATGTCTTAACGGTTGTGGATTCCATTCCTTATTTCAGTTTCTGCCATAATAACGTGTTCCCACCCAGCTAGTGTTCCAGCGTTTATGTCCATTGTGGTTTTGGTGTATTCCACTTTAGCACAGTTCCTTTAGAGCTGGAGGTGACCACTGCCTTCTCATTCCTACCATTTTTATCTAATACCCCCCACCCAAGCTTTGGGGCAGATTTTGACCCCCTCCAACTCATCACTTGGCTGTAGTTGAAATTTGTGATGCAGGATCCTGGTCTTCCAGCCAGTGTTGTTGTGTGCAGTTCAGTTGATTCCAACTCACAGCGACCCTGAATGACAGGGTAGAACTGCCTCATACGGTTTCCTGGGCTGTAATCTCTACGGGAGCAGATTATCAGGTCTTTTCTCCCACGGAGCTGCAGGTGGGTTCAAACTGCAGACCTTTCAGTTAGCAGCCGAGCGCTTAACCATTGCGCCACGAGGGCTCCAGCCAGTAGAGCCACACATTTAGTGAGGTGTGGGTGGAGAGTTGATGATGTGTGATAATAAGGGAAAACTGTCTCTTATACAGAAGAAGAAAACACTTCTGCAGACAGAAAGATAAATGATGCTATCTGTTTAACTCAGCTACAGGCTTAAATGCAAAGTTTTCTCTTCAGAGAAAGCAGGATTTCTTTCTAATAGCCACGTCAGAAATTTTTTAATTTTCTAAGGCATGAGCTCTGTCACTTCCATTGATAATTACATTATCCATTGATGTTCTATGACCAATACTACAGAGGGCCTTGTTGTTAGTTGCCTTCGAGTAGATTCCAATTCATAGTGACCCCACATGTGCCGAGTAGAACTCCATAGGGTCTCCAAGGCTATGATGTTTCGGAAGCAAATGGCCAGGCCTGTCTTCCGAGGCACCTCTGGGTGAGTTCAGACCACCAACCTTTCAGCTAGTGGTTGAGCACTTAACCACACGCACCACCCAGGGCCTCCTAGGTTGTTCTTAGCCTCTCATATGAATTAGGATCGGGGTGGGGCGTGCCCTAGGGCCACAGCTGTGCTTCACAGAAAGGAGACGGGACACGGGGGACACGTTACACCCAGGGCCCCTGCACGGGTCATCTTGCCTAGTCCCCAAGGCCTGTGGGGCCCCAGATTGGTTGATTCTTAGGATGCCGTCAGGATGAATCTTAGTAATGAAGGCATCTGAGGAAAAGTCCGGTTATATGTGTTTATAGGTAAAGTATTTACGTGTTATTAATGTTAGATTTATTTGATGTGTGAAATTGCTTAAAAGGAAGTTTTCATGATTTTACTTAGATAGTATTTAAATATCTGCTTTAAAGGATGATTTATTTATTCAAAAATAAGGAAAAATAGGAGAATATGTGAATTTTTTAAGCCTGAGAGATGACAGGATGTGCCCATACTTTTCCTGTAAAGAAAATAATTTTTTAAATCTTTCATATCCTCTAGAAAACACTGACTTTCCCCCGTGATAACATTGTTTGCACTACTGTAATGTCAAGACTGAAAGTATGACAAAATGTACCTGTAAGGTTAATTTTTATATTTTTCTTAAAGAATTTGAGTCTTAGAGTATATGCACTAGGCTATACATGACTCTTTTATAGCTGAGAGATGTTATGCTAGATTTTTAAGTTATTAGTTCTGGTACTTGTGTCTTTGTATGATCAGCAGCATGCCACAAGCAATAAAAAATACCAAGCCTTATACAAAAGAAGTTTAACGTATTGGGTAAAGTTCTAAACATATCAAATGTACATAAGTGATAAAACTAGATTTCTAAGGAAGTGTACATTATAATACAGGAGCTCAAAATTACATTAAGAAATTTGTCTAGGACTAGAAAAATGTTCATTAATTTGGGGAGAAAGTTTAGGGGTTTAAGAAGTATTTTTTCTATTTAAAAGGGTTAAATTATATAATTTGAAAGAATTTGGTTTAAATGTAAGACAACTATTTGAAGGACTTTTGTTTGAAAAGTAGATGTATTTTTTGTGCCTTAATTGTTCTGACTTTTAATAAAATGCTTTCTGAAATTTTGAATGATCGAGTCTTGATAATTAATACTAGATTGTTAATCTACAGGAAGTGTAGACTCCAGTAGATAGCAGAAGGACGTAAACAAAATTCTTAAAAGAGGAGGTACAACTAATAACAAATGTGGAAAAGTGTTCAACCTCAGTGTTGATCAGAGAAATGCAAATAAAAGGGGAAATTTTTAAAAATAAAATTAACATGTATTTATATATTCTATTGTATGTGTATAAAATCCCTTTGCTTCCAAAGTCTGATGAAATGAGCACACATAAATTAACAGTGGTCGTGATGGTAATGCAATCCATAAATCTTTGTGGAGAGAAACTGAGCGATGTGTTTCTAACCTTTGAATAGTGTCAATTCTGGTGCTGTTTTTAAAAATGATCCAAAATACAGAATAAGGCTTCTGCACAAAACAGATGTTTATTACAGCATTAAAGTAGAGGCAAAATTAGAAACACACAAAATGTCAACAATAGAATAGTTAAATGAATTATGGTTTAACCAGCTATTTCATGGAATACTGTGCAGCCATTAGGAGCCCTGGTGGTGCAGCGATTAAGTGCATGGCCGCTAACTGAAAGATTGGTGGTTTGAACCCATCAGCTGCTCCGCAGGAGAAAGATGTGGCAGTCTGCTTCCGTAAAGATTCCAGCCTTGGAAACCGTATGGGGCAGTTCTACTCCGTCCTATAGGGTCACTACAAGTCGAAATTGACTTCATGGCAGTGGGTTTGGGGTTTTTTGGTGCAGCCGTTAAATTATGAAGAATTTATAACAGAGCAATACTTATTACCAGAAATATAACATCACGTAAATGTGAGCTTTTACCTATGTGCAAACAAAGTAGAGAAAGAAATGAGTTGAAATGCACTGAGTGGTGCTCATGGTAAGTGTTGTTTGGGTTGTACAACTTGATTCCAAAATTTCAGTGGGTTAAGACAAAAGTTTATTTATTGATCATTTAACAGTTCTGAAGTGGGTATTGAGGTGGGCAGGATGTCCTTCCACACAGCCCTTCCTGGATCCAAGGTTTTTTACCGTCTTGTGAGCCTTACCATCTTGTGAGCCCATCATCCCCTAGGTCCTTGTCATCTGCACCCAGCCAGCAGAAGGGGGGAAGACAGCCTGGGAGGTTTTGGGGAGCTAGACTTGGAAGTGGTTCACATTGTTTCTCCACATACTCCATTGGCGAGAACTTGGTCACATGGCCATGTGCCTGCCTACTGTTCTAGTTCAGTGAAAGGAGAGGGCAGATTTGGATGGACAGCTAATGGCCTCTGCCACAGATTATTTTTGGGCAATGGACTCTGGGAGACAAAAACGTCTCTTGCCTTCCTAGGTTTTTCCAATTTTATGTGAGAAACATTGAAAAATAACTATGTAAAAAATTATAGTGCTATAACTGGGCTTATGATATCAGAAAATCTAGAAATTAGTATCTCAGGTCACAGCTTAATCTATTAATAAAATCTATCCTGCTGTAAGTAGATAAAACGTGGAGAATTTTCTTCATGGAAATCTCCCCAGCCTTGTGAGACCAAGGTGGGGTAGTCCCATAGGAAAAGCAGGGGCTGTTGTAATAACAGTGATGACAATTTAGGGAGTATTGGGAGTACTTGGAGAGTATCGGGCTTTTTTAACCATTTTATTTTCACAATAGCCAGCAAGACACCAGTTGCCCTCAAGTCGATTCCAACTCATGGTGACCCACTGTGAGAGTAGAACTGTGCTCCACTGAGTTTTCAATGGCTGATTCTTTGGAAGTAGATTGCCAAGCCTTTCTTCCATGGTGCCTCTGGTTGGACTCAAACCTCTAATGTTTTGGTTAGCACCTGAACACATTAACCCTTTGCACCATCCAGGGATTCCAGCCAACAAGATAGGCACTATTATACACCCCAGTTTATAAATGAGAAAACAGTTAAACTACTTGCCAAAGGCAAATAGTAAAATGTATAATACTAGTAGAAAGTGTCTTTGAAGGGTTGTCCTTGAAGTCCTGGGGAGAGGTGAACTTTCATTTAACAAATAAGCATTTGCTTATTTAGAGGGTATCAAAAGTGCCTGGTGTTCAAGTCTTCACAAGGCAGGTCAGGTTATTATGAAAAATTCAACAGTGATAGTCAAAGCAGAAACAAACTCCATATGAAATTCAAACATTCTGAAATTTACTTATTCAATATTAAAATGTTACCCAGGGTGGTGGAGCCAACAATGGCACCCTAGACAGATGCATCATGCCATTCCTCTGCAGCAAAGACACAAAAAACTAAAACAGATACAAACTCAATCCTGGAACCCTAGGTGTTAAATGAAGGGATAAAGAACTATGTCAAACACCAAATGAAAGAAGAAAAGGAAAACAGAAAATGAGGAGAGAGATGGAGTAGAGGTCCCCTGCCGACAAACAAGGCATAGCATCACCCTCTTGGATCACAGCCAACAGTGACCCCGGACAGGGAGTGCAGGAAGGCAACTTCATGGAGCTCCCAACAGGAGACAGAGCACCCAGTAACCAGAGAAACATGCTTTCCCACCCCTCACCCTTCTGTCCCATACACCACCCCACCCCCTCCCAACGGGCTATGCTGTGCTGCTCGGTTAGAGAGACACTGGCCTGCGATCACCCTGGGTCCACCCCACCCCCACCCCGACTCCTGTTGCACCTTTTGTTTCTTTTTCCCTTCCTTTTCTTTCTCCCACCTAGTCCCGTATGCCACCCCCACCCCTTCCTGATGGGCCATGCCATGCCACTCAGAGAGCTACCGACCAACCATCATCCCAGGTCATCCCCATCCCTGCCTGCTGGCTCCTGCTGTGCCATTTTCCCCCTTTATTCCTCTTCTTTCTCCCTCCCACCTAGCCCCATATGCCACCTCTACCCCTTCCCACCAGGCCACACCTCACTGTCATGAGTAGAGAACCACCAGCCTGAAGCCAGCCCATCTACACCCTACCCCCACCCGCTGGCTGCCACCACACCATTTTTCCCCCCTTTCTTTTCTTTCTCCATCCCACCTAGCTCTGTACGCCACCTCTACCCCTTCCTGCCAGGCGTCACTTCACTGACACAGCTACAGAGCCACTGGCCCACTGCCACCTGGTCTGCCCTGCACCACCTACCAACTCCTACCATGCCTTTTTTTCCCCTTTTCTTTCTTCCTCCCACCTAGCCCCATATGCCAGCTCCCCTCCCACCTGCCCGCCCCCAGGTCCGCCCACCCCCACCTGCCAGCTACCCTTTTTTTCCTTTTTCTGTTTTCTTTTCTCCCCCCACCTAGTCGCATACACCACTCCCCCTTCCTGCTGGCCCTAATCATGGCACTGTGGCTAGAGTGTCCCACTGCTGCTCCAGGCCTGTTCTACCCCTCCCCTCCTGAAACTCGACCAGCTGCTCAGTGGAGGGAAACAAGTCTATACCACTTCTGTCCAACACCCTCACCGGATAGATGAATGCTCCCACACCACTGGACCAACATCAGGAGGCAGACATCACTCTCCAGTATGCCCTCAGCCACCTCACCAAACCAGTGTACAACAAAGCAGGCTCACTCTGCTTGTTGCTGCCCTGCCCACCAAGGTGGTGAGAGTTATTGTGCCCACAGATGAGCAAGCAGCAAAGCATGCCTGGCCTGCCAGCCCTGACATGTCAAAAAAAAAAATGAAGAAGCAAATGAACGAAATGAACATGTAATCAAATACAGAAAAAAATACCTTAATGTCTCAGAGACAGAAGACAATATCAAAACATAAAAAAGCAGGACAAGATGGCTCCCAGCAAATGAGCAAAATAAAGAATCAGATGACCTGGTAGAAAAAAAAGACAGTGGAACTACTTGATATGGAATTCAAAAACTAATATTTAGGGCTCTTAAGGACATGAGAAGAGATTGAGGAAAACAGACAAAACCGAGGAAAAAATAGACAAAACTATGGAAAAACAGACAAAACCAATGAAAACACAGCCAAAATCACAGAAAACAGACAAAGCAATAGAAGAATTCAGGAAAATAATAAACAAAAAAAGTCAAAATAAGTGAACAATTGGAAATCATACAAAAACAGCAACTAGAAATCCAAAAGATAAACAAAAAAATTTTAGAAATAGACAACACAATAGAAGTTTTAGCAGAAAATTTGAAACAAAGAATCATTGAGACTGAAGACAAATCCATGGACGCAGCTTTGGTTGAGGAAAAATCAAAGAAAAGAATGAAGAAAACCTAAGAATGATGTGGGACACAATCAAAAGTAAAAATATATGCATGACTGGAGTTCCAAAACAGGGGAAGAAAATGGAAAACAGGAAAGATTGCTGAAGATTTGCTGGCAGAAAACTTCCCAAATATCATGAAAGACGAAAAACTGACCAAGAAGCTCAATGAACCCCATACAGGATAGACCAAAAAAAGAAACTCACCAAGACATTTCACAATCATACTTGCCAAAACCAAAGACAAAGAATCCTGAGAACAGCTCAAGGAAAACAAAAAGTCACTTACAAAGCAGAAACAATAAGACTAAGCTCTGATTACTCGGCAGAAACTATGCAGTCAAGATGGCCATGGATGACATATATAAAACTTTGAAAGAAAAAAAATGCCAACCAAGAATAATATATCCTACAAAACTCTCTCAGATATGATGATGAAATTAGGACATTTCCAGATAAAAATTAAGAGAATTTGTAAAAATCAAACTAAACTTACAAGAAATATTAAAGGGAGCCCTTCGGTTAGAGAACCAACAGCGTCAGACAACAACTGGACTTTAGGACACAGGATAACATCAACCAGACAACAACCTATGTAAAGAACTCTCAATAATAAAATAAAGCTAAGAGACGTGAAACAGTGAAACTGAAATGTCAATCTGTAAATGATAACATCAAAACAATAAAAGGGAATAAACAGTGTAGGTATAGAACTTTCAAATGGAAAGGAAGTCAAGGTGATATCAAGTAATAAAAGTTCAAACTTGGGAAGATAAGGGTAAATTTCAAGATAACCACAAAGAAAGCTAATAAACCTACTCATCAGAATAAAAAAGAAGAAAAAGTCTCAGTAAACACAAAATCTGTAATAACAAAAGAAAAGAAAATCCACAAACAAAAGGAATTCAGCACAGGAAAGTAAAGGAACAAAGAAAAAGCACCAAAAAAAAAAAAAAAAGAACAGTATGATAGGAATAAACGCATACCTATGTATAATCATGCTGAATGAAAATGACTTAAATGCACCTGTAAAGAGACAGATATGGGCAGAAAGGATAAGA